GAAATGATTTAACAAAATTAAAATAAATATTTGTAATAAAAACACTATCTCGTTACACCTACCGAAAATGTTTTGCTTTTTGAACTTTGATTTTGATAAATGGTGACAGTTAATAGACAAGTAGATTTATACAATAAACACTAAGCAGAGATTAACTAATCAAATCTTACAGCTTCTGCAGTCTGTTGAAAAGAGTAGGATATGCAATATTTTATAAATGGCAACTCTAAGGACATGTGCGGCCGGGTATAGTAATTTTCAATTGGACAATATGAAATCAATGAAAACCATACTGGCTGGTGATAGGACATTATCAAATAACCGCCAAAAGGTTATTTAATCCACCAATAGCGGCATTAGAATTTCATCGAATGCGCAATTTCCGTTCAAAATGGCGGACAATACTATGTCTATTTCTGTTCCATGTGAAAAACCTATAAAAGTAGAAAAGTGGAAAGTAAAACAAGGCGCATTTGTATCTCAAGGCCAGATATTATTTTTATACAATGATTCATCAGGCAATAGTACTGGATTAAAGAAATTTAAGGCTGTTCGCGCTGGTACTATAATCGCCATCAAGGTGAAAGAAGGAGACATTATCGAGCCCGGGTAAGTGACGTTTTGATGACGTCACAGTCGTAATAAATATAGTTTTAGGTTATCATTTTAATGTTTGACTAGAATGGTAACCAACACAAACTTAATATTTAATAAAGGCAAAAAACAATAATACGTTAACTACTAATATTCAAAACTTTTTTGTAATTTAAAACTTACAAGTAGGTACTCTCTTGAATAACTGCGGCATGCGCGCGCGCCAAATCTGAATCATAACAAACAAAGCATTTGTTTTCGTCGAAAGCTTGTAAGATAAAATAAATCATTGACGTTATACTATACATATTTCAGGAAATCTCTAGCAGATATCGAAGAATGTCGTCATCCAACTGTTATGAAAGATATGTGTGCAGAATGTGGTGCAGATTTACGGGCCGACGAGAGAATAAAGCAGGATGTCGCGAGCGTCCCTATGGTGCATTCTGTACCTGAACTGAAAGTAATTACTTATTATTTTTTTTTTGTTAAATCTTGGCGTGATAATAATAAACACCACGTAATTATCTTATTAACAAAAACCAAAATTGATGTTTTTCGCTTTTTAATTACAGGTGTCTGAAGAATTGGCTTTAAAGTTAGGCAGAGAGGATGCTGATAGGCTATTAAAAGACAGGAAATTAGTTCTTTTGGTAGATCTTGATCAAACATTAGTTCACACTACAAATGATGACATACCACCTAATTTAAAGGTATGTCTAGTAACTAAAATTATTTAGTGTAACTTGAGATGTTAGATGTATGATAAGTTTTTGTTTTTTAATTATATTAGCCTATTCAATATAGTTTGATAAAATAATTTAATTTGTTTTAATACATAATTAAATGAGTCATAGCAATGTGTTGGCCAAGTGGCACAACAAAGTTAAGCTGTTTTGTGTAGTTTTTTTTTTTTTTTAAGTTGTAGTTAATATAAATATAGTTACTAATTTTTTTACTAACATAGGACATGCTATGATAGTAACATTTTGTTCTTGCATAGACTGTTATTAAAAATTAAGTGTAATATACACAGATATTTCAATGAAAGCATAACAAAGTTTATTGAAACTTCATTTTAAGTGTAATTTCTAAACTTTTTTTTATTTATTAAAATATAAATCAACTAATATTGTGTTTCAGGGTGTCCTTCATTTCTTTTTACGAGGACCTGGTAGCCAAGGGAGATGGTGTCATACAAGACTTAGGCCAAAAACTAAAGAATTTCTTGAATCAGCCTCGAAGAACTATGAGTTGCATGTTTGTACATTTGGGGCAAGGCAATATGCACATGCAGTGACTGAATTATTAGATCCAGAGAAGAAATACTTCTCTCATAGAATATTATCAAGAGATGAGTGCTTTGATGCTAGAACAAAGTCTGCTAATTTAAAGTAAGTGTTTTTATTCTACTAAATGTAGAGTAAGAGATTTAAACAAAATCAGAATTTTTTTGGTAATACATAACTACTTTCATTTCTTTTCTTTTTTTCAATAAATAGAAATCATGATCAGAATTAGAAATCCCATCTGAATGATATCATGACTTAAGGCGGAAACATACTACCAAAACGCGACGCTATACCACGCCATCCGACGCAAGTCAGTACTTATCAATCCCATATATTTAATATGGTCAGATGCACATAGACAACACGCCATGTGATCACACGTGGTAACATCCAATCGATTTGGATCGGCGTGTTGTGGATGTTGTGATGATGACGCCATGCTTCAGTCGTTCGAGTTTTTGACACGAATGTGAATTTATATACTTAGATATTTTTGTATTTATTTGGCGAAATGAACGACGAACAAAAAATTGAGTTGGTGAAACAATATTCTGAATACGCCAATAAATATAACTGGTAACAAAATTATTCCAAACAGAAATAAGATTCTAAAAGTTATGACATCAGAAAGAGAAAATACAGAAGTAGAAGCTGAACACCTTCACTATTTTCAGCTAAATGAATTCTGAATTTGCAAGCGTGTCGTGGTGTCGCGTGTTGGTAATGTGCACGATGGACATCGGGTGTCGACACGACACGTCGCGTCGCGTTTTAGTAGTATGTTTCCACCTTTAATTATAATATGGTTTCACACATACAAATTGATATTTTCTGGAAATTTACTAGCTACTTTTGAATTATTTATTCCTACACTAGTACTACTTCTGCTTAGATCATAGGATTTGGAAAATTTAATACTGCATTGATTAATGAAATTTAATTTAAGTTACACGCCTCCCATGGCAAAGGCCACCATCCTGGGTATAAAACCCAGCTTAAGTTAGAAAGATGATTACAAACCCTGGAATGGAAACGATCCAAAATCTGTCCCATGTCTTAATATAAGATAGATAAGTGCAATAATGGTTAGTGGACTCAGTTTCCGCACTTAAACTGTCATTAAGTCCGCGTAAGATAAGGTACTAATAGTAAGCATATAATTGTATTACTATAAAAATATAATTATTAACCTTTTTACAGGGCGTTGTTCCCGTGTGGTGACAACATGGTGTGTATAATAGACGACCGGGAAGACGTGTGGCGCCACGCGGCTAATCTCATCCAAGTCAGGCCTTACTCTTTCTTCCAGTCCACAGGCGACATTAACGCGCCTCCACCGCTCAGTATGTATTAATTACTACATCGTTTTCTCATAGTAATTATTATTATACTATTGCAAGAAGTATCTAAAAATATTGGCAAAGAGTTTACTGCTAGCTCCTCTCGTCTATTCCAAACCCTTAAGAACTAGCAGTAAATGTAGGTGTAAAACCATTTCATTATTTCGATTATAAAGAAAATTATTGTGAATGTATTTATTAAATTTTAGATGATGAGAAATCAAAAATGATAAGTGGCAAGAATGGTTCGCTCCCAACTCAGTTACCAACATTAGAAGCAGAACCTGAAAAGCAAGAAACACCAAAAGATAAAGGAGACATTTCCGTAGACAGTAAAGAAAATAAGAGTAGCACGAAAGAGAAAAATGATAATAAAATAGAGGTTGAAAATTCAACAGAAACAGAACCCAAATGGGTGGAAACGTGTGACGGACAAATAGAAATAGAAGATGCTGATGATTATTTAATATATTTGGAGGATATACTGAAAAGGATTCATTTGTGAGTATTATGGTTAATTAAGTAAATTCATCCATTTTTAGTCCAGCTTCAGCTAAAACTAAAATAATTAATCACCTAGAACTCACTTCTATTGGCGTACATGCAAAATAAAATAATTTACCTCCTTAAACAGATTTAACCATGGTTTTATTAGGAGGTTTGATTGTTTTACCTTTAAAATGATATTGGATTAAGATACAAGTTACATAATCAAGTTTGTATGTAACTTCACCACAAAATCCATACAGCATTATGATCTACTGAAGACTTCCTTTATTTAAGTCTTTTGAGGAAGACAGATACGAGAACTACAGTTCAATTTGTTGCTTTTGACAGCTTACACCTTAACATATTGTAAATATTCTAGTTTCTTTTGTGTAGGGGAAAGGTCTCAAATTTGTTTAAGAAATATTTGATTTGTATTTTTATTAGAAAAATGTTTAATGTTAGTCAGGCCGCACACCAGGCATACATTTGTAACTCGATAATTGTAGCGCCACATTTGAAACGCGACACATTTAACGCCCCCATACATTTGTACGTGAGCACGCACACCGAGGAATCATTTGTGGCGGGCGCACTTTGTAGCGAGACAGTTTCCGCGCCACACAAATTCAAGATCGAACACGTTCGTTTTTTGTGTCGCGATGGTTTGCAAAAATTAAAGACAACATTGGTTTATTCACTCGCTCAATCACACGCTCAATGATTATAGTAACAGACGGATTACAGAAATAATTTGGACTAAGATTGGCGAAAAATTCCCGTACTTTGTGCAATCTTGATTAAACGGATGAACCCAATAACGTCTTTTTTTTCTCATTAATCGCAACATCAAGAAATCTATGTCATAAGACGATGATGTCAACCTTCTCAAAGCGGTGCCACGCTACAACTGTGCTTCCGATGTGCGCATTTTCAATACATTTGTAGCGCATACAATTGTAGCGCAACGACTTCGCAACGATTGTGGCGACGTAAATAACAAATGTATGCCTGGTGTGCGGCCTGACTTAGTCTTAATTGTAAACCACGTTAAACTGGGTGATAAATAATATAAGGAAAGTAGATACTGCTGTCCAAACACATTTAAGGGTAGAAAACTAGCAATTTGTTTAAAAAAAAGGTGTTTGTTTTCATTTTAAATGAATATTTTAATATTTTTTAACAATATATTTACAGACACTTCTATGACATGTATGAGAAGATGGGCAACAATCATATACCAGATCTAAAGTTCATAATACCTGAAGTGAAGAGTGAAGTTCTAGCCAATAGCAGCCTTGTTTTCAGTGGTCTAGTTCCGACTCATCAGAAATTGGAAACTTCTAGAGCATATTTAGTCGCCAAAAGCTTAGGGGCAGAGGTCACTCAGGATTTAACAGATAGAACTACTCATCTCGTTGCTGTCAGATCAGGTATAATAAATAGGTTAAAAATGGCGTCAAGGTTGTGTTATGATTAGAAAAAACCTGCGTGGTGTAGGGAATACGGCTACCCGGATGTCCGAAATTGATTTGTTTACTCTAAAAAAACATTAAGTTACCTATATAATATGCTTTGTTGCATTTTTGTTTAATAATATTATAATTAAAACGATTATATTTCTTTATATAGGAACGGCAAAGGTGAACGCTAGTCGTAGAATGGGTGAAGCTAAGACAAAAGTTCACGTCGTTACTCCAGAATGGCTCTGGGCGTGTGCTGAGAGGTGGGAGAGAGTAGACGAGAGATTGTACCCTCTACAAAGAGGAGGACAGGTGTAGTGGAAGACCTATTTACTATATTTACTAGTCATACTTATTAATGTGGTTGGTTAATCAAATTACTAAAATAGCACTTGTACTAGTAGTATGGAACTAAATGTGCTCTAAAGTATACAATTATTTGGGAAACGAACTCGGGATCTTCTGAATTCCCGTTATGTTAACAACTAAGCCATAGGTAACAATCTCGTTACCCTCAACAGAGCTTAGCACGCCGCCCACCCGCACACTGCAGCAGTCCTCCCCCTGCCCCTCCTGCGCCTGCTATGCGCAAGCGCACCCCTTCCGGAAGATTCATGGACACAATTAACCCGCTAATGTCATTTTCAAGTGATGATATAGCTGATATGGACAGAGAGGTAAGGCAAGATTATTTTTTTTTAGTATCAAAAAACTGTTGTATAGCAACTTGACTCGGCACTCTATGAGCATACAGAAAAGTTCAGTAAGAGTTTCTTTTCATTATGTATATATTTTATGGTGAATTCTTTAAGCAAGAATTTTAAGTTTCAGAACAGTTATCAAGTTAAAAGAAATTATAGTGTACAATGGAAGGTAAAATGGGTTACTTAGTTTGCTTACTTTCTAGGTAGAAGATATCTTTAATGAATCTGATGAGAGTTCATCTGATGAAGAGGCCAAGCCACCAGTAGATGATGATGATGATGAAGAAAATCTCTCTGAAGATAGATTACTTGCTTTAGAAAATACAAATATCTCCCAGGAAAGGTACATTGCTCCATATTATGTAGATTTATGTATAGCAATCGGCGAAATAGTTCTAAGATTCTTCAGTTATTTAATGAGATAGATTTTCATTTACACTAATATTAGTGTGATTATATAATCACATGTGGTACTTTTGTAATTAGGACATTTATTTTTTAGTTGTCTATTTAACTGCTTTTGAAGTTGTTGAAGTCTAATGTATTTTTGTTATTACAGATTACAAGAAAAAGAAAATTCAAGTGATTCAGATACAGGTTAGTTACAATTTTGAAATATCTTGTTAAATACTGTATTACAATATTAACATTATAATTTATAATGCCAATTTATGAACTAAAGAATTTCATTCAATTACTAACTTTTTAAGTAGGTTTTATCAATAAATATGTTTAAATTCTAATTTAAAGATCCAGATCGACCCAAAAAAAGGCCCAGACCATCAACCCCTCCATCAGATGATGATATTCCACCAGATGATGATGATAGTTCCTGGAATCTAATGGGAGCTGCTTTAGAAAGAGAGTTTTTAGCACAGGAATGATGTCTACACAATCAATTAGAAATATACATATGGTTAAATAAATTGTCTTTTATAGTTAAATCTATTAATTTTCCCAATAAAATATATTTTGTGCATAAAAAAAATTCAGTATTCATATTTTAATCATTTTTATTATCTACTTAAATAATGCTACAATAAGGTCCAGGTAATATTTAAATGGAATATGGATCATTTTCATCAAAAACATGAAACCTTGTATATGTAGGTTTTGATGTGAAATCTTTCTTTCCTTCTTGCCAACCTCTTGGAGGTGCCTTTTTATAATCAAAGCCAGAATCTAACTTCCCGTAAAGTTCAGACTGTCGATCAACATCTTCACGGTATCTTTCTTTGGCTACTTTTTTGCCTGTGACTGGATCAGTTACATCCCCAAATGGATATACTACCTCTTCCACTGCATGTGTTATTAATTTAGTCATTTTCTGAGGAAGAGCTTTAATTAAAACGATATCACCAGTTTTACACATTTTATTTGGGTCGTAACAGTAGTAGAAATCATCCTTTTTGAAATACTGAAAAAGTAAAAATATATTTTACAAACATTAAAAGAATATTTTAAATAAAAATGTACGTATGAAAATACAAACCATTAGTAAATTTTCATCTAATTCTAACCTCTTAACCCGTATTTTAGTTGCATTTTGTTTAACTGTAGGTACACACTGACCTAATAACAGAAACTTTTTAGCAGCATCTTTAATTTTATTAGCCATTGCTGTACTTAGTTGTTTTTATTTAAAACAACTTTATTTCGAACGGTTTAAATAATGTTTACAAATTACATAACAGTACTGACTAGTGACTACTGACAGCATTTTCAAAGACTAAGGCAAGGCAGTTAATTTTTTAACTTTAACACAGATTAGACACATGAATGATTATGAACGTTGGCAACACATAAATAATATTGTTATATTATTATTGTTGTTTTTTTCGTTATTTTTTAATATAATATGATTGGTTATGTAAGATTTTAATTTAAAAAAAGGGTGCGTGTACTAATATGTACGCGCGTAAGAAGTTATACTTCTTTGGTATTATTATAAAATAGTTTTTGATTGCATGCAAATAATGAATTACAATTAAATAATCAAAGACTGGAAAAGAAGTCATTATAGTCAATAAAGTTCAGTTTACATTTGAAAAATTAAATAAATAAATATTTATTCTCTTACGTTAAGTGTAACATAAATTCTATTATTATTCGAATGTTGTTTTCAAGTTGTGTAGTAATCACCCCCCACAAATTTTGCGCTTAGGAAACCAAAAAAAATTTTTTTTTTTTTTACCTGGGGAAACCCACTTACGGGCCTTACTTAGTAATTGTTTATTCAAGCCTCGGCTTCTCGGCGTCCTGGTCGCCTTCGGCGACCAAATATTCATATACTAACTCTAACCTAACCAATCTAAATAATATTCTCTTCCTCCGCGCCTCCGATTATTTATATACACTCTAGGGGTAAGGCAGACAAGACCACGTGGATAGTGGGGTGCTCTGATTCGGTTTTGGGTACTATTTGAATAATTTAATAATTTTCGGAACCATACATTAATTAAAACATGAAGTTAATGTAATGTATTGTACATTTGACAAGTAATGCTTAAATTAGGTTCAACTATAAAATTAACAAATGAGGAAATAATCGATTCGATTAGGTTCAACTTTAAAAATAACAAATGAGAAAATAATCGATCCAATTAATTTACCGAAAATGTCACATCACTTATAACCATTCGAAAACGACAATGACACATCACTTATAACCAATAGAAATCGAGAATGTCACATCTCTTATAAGTTATAACCAATAGAAAAGTAGTTAGATAAAAATAGGTAAAAAAAACTTTTTAAGTTAAACGGTTTTATGTTAAACATACATTGCAATGTTTAAGATAAATGTACTAAAAACAAAAAAATAATAAAATAGATACAGTCGTGGGAATTATAAACATATGCATAGACTAGACTAAAATAAAACCGTGGGGCACGTCAATTGTCTACAAATTATCGACTTAATGTGCGATAGAAGAATCGTTTAATTCGTCGTTAAAATAGGCAGTTGGCCCGCAGACGGTCAGGAAATTACTTACTATTTTCTTGCTCATGGAAATTCCAATAGTTATACACTCCATGTAAATAAAAGAGATGTTTCAACTAGTTTATCGTTGGACATTCACACTGCTGGCTGGCGAGGAATCGTTTCAACAGACAATTGACATGCCCCACGGTTTTATTTTAGTCTAGTCTATGCATATGTTTATAATTCCCACGACTGTATCTATTTTATTATTTTTTTGTTTTTAGTACATTTATCTTAAACATTGCAATGTATGTTTAACATAAAACCGTTTAACTTAAAAAGTTTTTTTACCTATTTTTATTTTCTAGTTTTTAGTTTTTATTTCGCATTCTGTTTAATTCATTTAGTGCTTCATTATTGCAAGGTTCCTTGCCCGTTAGTTTATATAAATAAATCAATTCTATAATACAAATATAATATATATTTAATTAATAAAATAGATACCTACAGTTTTTAATATAATGTTATATATTATATAATATTTATTTATTTAGTTTATTGTATTGTCACCAAAATCCAAAGTGTATACAAAATTTCAGATTAATCGGTTGACAGGAAGAGGGTGAAATTTGAATTACTAAATTTGACCCAAGAATAAAACAAACGGGGTGAGCTAAATAAAACCATTTAATAATGGCGGATTGTTTATAATTTCAATACAATTGACAAAAGTTAAAAAATATTTTTTAAAATACTTTGACGCTTATCCTAAAGCTAAAATCACTTGGAGGTGTTCCAATCAAGGGTCCCCGAGACTCCTGCATAATCAGTATCATCAAATTCCAACGCATTGATATCAACCCCAACCCCTTAATAAACACAACTCCGGCAGCAAAAATCACTTGGAGGTGTTCCAATCAAGGTCCCCCGAGACACCTACATAATCAGTAGGTATCATCAAATTCGGGCGACGGATTTCTAAATCGTTAGGTACCTTTTCATATATGTTTATTATTTAGTACTTACTACTTAATCATACAATAAAAAGAATTTGTTTAATTTACAAGTGCGAAATATCATGGTTGTTCATAAATTGTTATTAGGTACTTCGTTTTAAAGTATTTTACAATACACCCACCCATATCAACAAGGATAGTATTTAAAAATATTTGTATATTTGGTATATTAGAACAATAATAAAATTGATATACAATTCCCTATTTCCTTAATTACATAAATCAGTAGAAATATCAAAATCCACAACCACTGTAATTAAATAGCATAAACCACAAGTTTTTAGTATTAACTTAAGCTGGTACAAGTTTAGTAATTGGTTTTACTATAGTTATAAGTGCAGCAAGTGAAGAAACCGTGCCTAGAGCACCAATAGCTGACGGGTTCAATTTAGTTAAACCCAGTGCAGTCAGTGGTATAAAAATATCACATGAATTTTTTATAGTATCTATAAAGATATCTTTATGGCAATAAATAATAGCATATAAATGTTTTATGCAAGCATTAACATCAAAACTTTTAACAGGTCCCCTTAATAATTCAGAAGGCTTAAGCAATGTAGTTTGGTTTAACTGTAAGACTTGTAGAATTTCATATACATCTCTTGCTAAGTTTGCAGTTATTGACAACAGCCAAAATTTATTTGCTGTGCGATTCCATTGTTCTGAATCAGTTTTAAGAAAGCCACTTCGTGTTAGCCACACTATATGATCAGCATACAAAAACAGTGCATGGGCTATTTTACTAACTGTCAGAGACATTCTTAAGAATGGATCCTGTATGTGAATAGTATTTAATGCTGCATAAGATATATCTATGCATCTTCCTAATCTTAGAACTGTAACAATATTTTTTTAAATTAATTATTTCATATTATAACAAAGTAACGTAACATCGTTTACTCAAATGAGTACATACCTTTTCTAAATGAACTAAGATTATTTTCCAAGCCTTTGATTCGTTCAATGGAATACTTATTAGCATGTTTTTTTTCCAGCTGATGCCATACTAGTCTACTGGCATACTGGACTAGCCTATAACACACACAACAAAAACAAAAAGTTTATAAACCATCTACCTATTATATATTAAAAATGATAAGCAATGTGGTAACTTAAAATTCTCAGTTTGCCATACTGACCTTGCAAGTTTATCTCGTCCATTAGACTGATTATTTACATTTAAAAGGACATCCATTATTGTATTTTTTTAAGATACAAATTTTAAGAACATTCAGTCTGGAACAGAAAATAATTACGATTCATTGTATATTTAAAGGTTAGTTTTAATTTATTTTCCAAAGAACATGACTAGTTCTGATTGTGAATTATGATCAGTGTAAGCTGATAATCATTATTACCTTGCTATATATAATTGTAAATAAATAAACATATAAAAGATAAATAAGAAAACAGTGCAGTATAACTAGATAAGAGTAAAAGTTTAGAACAAAAATACCTAATTTTTTAGTGTTACACAATCAGTCTTTAAAAAAATATTGATAAGGGTATCTTTATCAAGAATTTTATTGTGACTAAGGTGTTTACTTTTATATTCAGTCCTTTTTTTAATTCAGTTTACACAGTACCTACTACCAAAGCCATACTTAAGAGACGGAAGTATTTAATTATTTATTATATGGTAGCTATTTCTACTTGGTAAATTTAATCAAACAGGAAACATGATTGAAAAATGTAATGTATGCAACTAATAACTATGCATAATGCAACTATGAACTAATACCATCCATTCCACATACTCATTACTCAGGCACAGCCACAGATGACAGAATACAGAGTTCAGTTTTTTTTCTAGTGGAGGTAGCACAGCTACAAGCACTTGATGTGTGGGCACAGACTAAGAAGAAGAACAAAAAACAAAGTTTATCTAATCACAGAATAATTGTAGGTAATAATCAATAATAATATTAAGATTTAATATGTTTAAGCCCATATTTTGTTTTTAATTATCCCTTTGTTTCCTTTTGATGGCTTTGTTTAATTTTTCTGGCGTGTAGTTTCCTTACCTTTTACTTAAAACTGGCATTAAGTTAAAAGTTAAAACTATTGCCAGAAATAAAACTGTTGGTATAGCTGATAACTCTTGGCTGGATGAATTATTAATTTTAATAAATGTATTAAATTAATAAAACAAAAAGACTTTCGGAAAAAACACTATGAACAAAGCTAAAAACACTCCTTACATTCTACAAGAACAATACAACTTAATTTCTGTAACAATTAAAAAATAGCAACAGATAAGATAAATAGAAATATAATACAGGCTTTCAAAATTAAGTCGTTCCTTTTCAATTAATCATTATTTTTAATTATCTAAAAGTTTGTAATAAATCTTATAGACAAATGAAATAATTCAGAAAAACATACTATACACTATAATAACTATTAGCCGAAAATAAATAAAATTCTATATAAAGCATATTGTTTCTAAGAAAAATCTTTATAAATAAATTAGACTGTCTATGGTGATTTGTATTTATTTTATGGCTACACTGACTGAAAAGTCGATAATGCTGCCATGAACTCATTTATATTTGGCACCGAAACTTGGATAGTAATTACCAATCATCGTGATACGCGAACTGTGAAGTCTCGAGTCCACTCTCGCCTCTCGGCACTCCGGCCTTATCGACAGCCATTTTGTTTTAGAAACATTTATCAGTATTTGACCACCTTAGAGAATTTTAATTCGTATAGTTTACTTTGTGTTGTGTAAGACTAGCGTGGAGTGACTTTAGAAAAGTGCTGTAAACTGTTATTTTTGTGGTAAGACTTCATAAAAGTGAGCCGCTATATTTTTCTGGAACAAAACGACATTTTGAAGTGACGTGTAATGTTGTGCATTTCAGATAGTTGTTCATCAAACTGAGCTTTCATGATCGGCTTACCGCGTAGCGATAGAGATAGAGATCGTATTACGGTGAAAATTCGCAATATGAAGAGGAGTTCCTCCAGAGACAGTTTGCCCCGGTCGAAAAGGACGCGTAGTAGTATAGGAAGGTACGACGATAGTTCCGATGAGCGTGCCACACCGGATAGAGTCCGCAGACGAGTTCGTTCTCCTAGTCCCCGTGGTAGGTACGTTTCTCCTCACAGAGACGATTATGTTAGGTCACGCGAAGTGAGGGAAGAATCCGTGCGCCCATATTATAAGGTGCTTTGTGTCAGTGCATTACATCCTAAAGCATCAGATGAAATAGTGAAAGATACTTTGTATAGAGAGTATAAAAAGTTTGGCGACTTCAGTATCAAGATCTCCCACGAGCTAGATGAGCGAGTGGCATATGTATGCTTCAGGAGTGCTGAGGATGCTAGAGATGCTAAACATGCCAAACCCAGGATTATTCTGTATGATAAAGTTGCCATTGTTGATCCAGTCTATGAACCTGTCCGTTCAGAGTACAGAAGTAGACCAAGAAGCATAACTCCTCCTGATTATGATCGTCCATATTCCTATGCTTGGTCACCAGTACCAGAAAGACGCAGACCCCCTCCAGAAGATAGAGCTTATGGAATACCTCCTACTGTGCCTCCTCACCACAGGGATTTTAGGCCTCCCATGCATGAATATCCCATGGCAGGTCCTCATGGTCCTCCAATGCACCATCGTCCTCCTATGCACCATCCCCCCCATCCGCATTACATGCCCAGGCCATACATGCCTAGACCTCACCACACTCCTTTTGATAAGAGTGAAAATAAAAAAGATAAGTTTCCCAATTACTTGCATCATGTTCAACCTGAAGATGATCCTTTGGCCACTAGGACATTATTTGCAGGTAACCTAGAGATAAACATATCAGATGAAGAGTTGCGTCGTATATTTGGACGTTATGGAATTGTTGAAGACATTGATATTAAAAGACCTCCCCCAGGAACAGGAAATGCGTTTGCATTTGTTCGTTATCAAACATTGGACATGGCTCATAGGGCTAAAGTTGAGCTGTCAGGTCAGTACATTGGCAAATTTCAATGTAAAATTGGTTATGGTAAAGCCACACCCACAACACGAGTCTGGGTTGGTGGTCTGGGTCCGTGGACATCAGTAGCTCAACTAGAAAGAGAATTTGACAGATTTGGGGCAATAAAGAAAATTGAATATGCCAAAGGGGAGCCTCATGCATACATTTTGTATGATTCTATTGATGCTGCACAGGCAGCAGTGAAAGAAATGAGAGGGTTCCCACTGGGTGGACCAGAACGTCGCCTGAGAATCGATTTTGCTGATGTCGGAAATGGAGGCCCCTACAGGCCCAAGCCGTATGTCCCCCCTGTTGGTGAAGATGGAAGGCCTGTAGAAGGCTATGAAGGATATGAGGGCACATGGGATGAGAGTTATGGCTATAGTGGCTATAGAGGTCGCGGTGGGCATCGTGGTCGTGGGCGTGGAACGTACCGTGGTGTGTATCATGGAGCAGGTGATTACCGGGATGATGAGTGGCGAAGGCCTCCTGACAGTGATTATGATACTCGTTTACGTCGATCTGGGTCTCGAGAGCCTGGAGTTGATCGTTCACGGTCTCGAACACCACGTCGCCGTTCACCTGATAGTGACTCTGATGGTTCACCTCGCAGAGGCAATGGTATGCTTTCTTCAGCGAGAACCCTTCCTGAAGTTGTACGTAAAGCTCTTACTACTTGGAATGGAGCTCTTATCCTTAAGAACTCTCTTTTCCCGACAAAGTTGCACTTAACTGATGGTGATTCTGACATAATTGACAGCCTGATGAAAGATGAGGATGGCAAAAATCAATTGAGAATAACGCAGAGGCTAAGATTGGATCAGCCTAAGTTAGATGATGTACAAAAGCGTATTGCTACATCAAGTTCTCATGCTATATTTCTTGGAGTAGCAGGTTCAACAGCATCTATAACAAATGATGATGCTAGTATTCAAACTAGACCTATGAGAAATCTGGTTTCATATCTAAAACAAAAAGAAGCTGCTGGTGTAATATCTCTGCTCAATAAAGAGACAGAAGCTACAGGAGTCCTATACTCCTTTCCACCATGTGACTTTTCAACTGAACTATTGAAACGCACTTGTCATAACTTGACTGAAGAGAGCCTCAAAGAGGATCATTTAGTAATTGTTGTTGTTCGGGGGGGTTCAGCTTAGCTCTAGAACCATAATTTTTATTTTATCTAGTTGATAAAGAGTTAGAATAAGTATTTTCAAACTTCAAATCTATACTTTTGTATTATATAACTTGTGTTGTGTAGTGACATATTGTGATGTGTATGTAAAGATTGTGAACATTAAAAAATGTGGGTGTGCTGTGTTTATCACAGTTTGATGTGTAAAGCAATAACTATCACAAGATAAAGTATATAACTGATTTTAGTAAAGTATTTTTGGAACATATGTGTAATTTAGGAACAAACTTGAGTTAAAGTGTAATCAGTGTAAGTTAGGTGATGTGTAGTGTGTGAACACAAATAGATTATATTAAATAATTTTGTTTTTTTCTTAAACCTTGTGAGTTGTGATAGTGCAGTTCTTGTGTCTGTGAAATAGCAGGTGTATTTAACTATCTGAAGTAGGTCAACAAATAATCTTTAAGTGAATAGTGGTTATTGTGATGTGAGCCCTATAATTAAATTGAAAACTTTAGTGCTAAAGGTGGGTGAAAATTTGTGAGTAGATAATATGCAATAGAAAAATTCAAAAGTTTTTGCACAGGAATAACTTAATAAAGAAGTAACAAATTCAGTAAAAGCAATTTCTATCATGGGCTTCATTATAGATGGTAAATTTTATTTAAAATTATAATCTGAACTATTTAATAACCCAATCCTCTTTACCCTTAAGAGGTATATATTACATATTATGAAAAATAGGAAGAATCTTTAGAAGTAGGTTCATTGTCATATTTATAACAGATACACAGCAAAACAAGGAATTGGATTGGTAAGTATTCTTGTAAGTATAATTCTTTTCAATCTTTAGTAGCATTAGTGTTTTCATTGTTAGTTCATTGCTAGCTAATATAATTATTAGTTTCCTTAACAAGATTCTTTAGTTATTATTTCATTATTAGTATTGTACGTTTTTATCTTATTGAAATTTGTCAAGTTTTAACGAGTCGATTAAAGAGATAGATCAACATTTAAGGCTTTATTTATATTAAAGAAATACAATACTTTTATGTAAGAAATTTTTTAATCAACTTAATTTTTTTTTATAACAAGTTTTGCTACCAAGGCAACTTCTGGTATGCCAGTATATATATACTTCACAAAATTAATATGGTTAATAGTAGTTATATATATTTTGCTATTATTCAAGTAACTTCTCTTATTAAAGAAAGCAGCTAACATCTGTAATATTCTAGATTTGTGTGATTTATTTGTAAATTATACAATACTGCACCAGTTTCAGTGATGGTTTTTCTTTATAAAGAAATAAGTGATTTATCACATAAACCGAATTATAAACCAGCCTGAGCACAGAACCACAAAGGTGATAAAAATACAGCTTGGGAAAATTCAAATCTAATTTAAGTTATTTTTAATTCCAGTTATTATTACAGCAGTGAGCTCATGTTATGTTATAGTGACCAATTAATTCTTAAGATTGTTAATGTCTGGTAAAAAATAAAATAAAACATTAAATTATTATCATTTTTTATTGTTATAATTAAACTCCTTTTCTCTTATTCCTCTTATTTGCATGGCGTGATGTGCCCGGGTTCGAATCCCTTACAATTTCTTTAAGAAATACAATAATTATTTCTATCAATCGGAAGAAATAATTATCTAATTTTGAAATACATTATTTTATTGCCTAAATATTAATATTGAGATCTGGATTTAAAATTAATATAATTATTTTAAAGGTCATAGACTATAATATTGAGAGTAAAATATTTATAGTTTTATTTAATTATGTCAATGTCATATTGACAACCCGATACAAAAGTGTATGTTATTAATTGATAAACTTTTTAAAGTTGAGAAAATGGAAGACACAGGTATAATATCTTATATAACTTGTTAATAAACATTAACAATTATTATCCATTGATTATTTAATTCATTACACTCTTAGATTTTTCTGGTAAATGTTCTTAGTTGACTAGTCAAGAATTTCTAATCGGTATTCAAACATCCAGGCGCTAGTTAGGTCTCTCCACATAAACGCCTATGAACTAAAACCACAGGATAGTCGTTTCTTAAGAATCTCTTACCGAATAATAGATAAAGGTGTATCAGAATGTCAGAATAGAACATACTTAACTGCCCTAAAAAGAATCTACCGGCAAACGATAAGCAGAAACGTCTTGCCAGAGGAAATGATGCCGCCTAGGGAGAGATATCGTCATAAGGGACAAAAGGAAGAAACGTTTGTGTAAGTTGTTGAATTGAAACTATCTTGGAGCATACGAAGTAAATAAGACCTGGACCCTTACTCAGTAACATCCAATCGCGATTCCGATCTCAATGAGTTCTTGTTCGGCGCTACGGATATTAAGAGATACATCGAATTTGCATACACTATTGGGAGTTACAGAGTAAGAGCTCATAGTGGTTTAGTTTAAGCGGCTAAGTGGCAATTTTTTTTTTATTAGGTACACATGTTTCACATTATGTAAGTCACTTCTCATTTTAAAGGTCATGAATGTCATAATTTTTATAATTTTTAGAAGCAATTAACTGTATAAATTTTGCTAATCATTTTTACTTACAATTAAAAAGTAATTAGTTGGGTCACCCAGGTAATTAACCTTGGGACCTTTTTTAAATTAACCATAGAACTCCTTTAACTGAGCAATAACTTTCATTTGTTTCGCTTTTTAATTTTTCTTACAAAATAAATAACCGGATATAAAACCCGACATCTCGGCGCTATGCGCTTTACTATAGTAATAATTATACTCACGATACTTAGGTTAGATAACGGTACTGGAAGCTGGAGTGACGTCCGCGAAGCTAAACGTATAGCCATTTTAGCTTCTCTGGTACCTGACGAGATAATTTACAAACATTCCGATTATTCTGTTAGACCATATGAAACTGCACTCATGTTTATAGATGTTTCTGGTAAGAATATATATGTAATAAATGTCTGTTTTACTAAAATAAGGAAAAAAGTTTCTACATACTAGTATCTAGTATAGGTTGAGTTCTCAAGAAATATCAGATTTTCACAGGAAATTCTCAGATCACTTGGTGCTAACTTTCGCCCATGGACACCGGAGCGGAAAGGAGGCTATGGTATGCCAAAATCCAATACATTTTTGACGACCGCCTGATAAGTCTCGTTTCTGAATCTCATCCTATAGAGCTTTGACGGCTTTTAACACTTCAACTTACTTCCATTCTGTTAGTTAGGAAAATAAGTTAACTTAAATTGTCATTACGCAAGTAATTGAAGTAAGTTTTATTTCTGGATTACTTCTATTAAAGCAGTGTTTCCCAACGTGGGGGCAATTCGAAAATGGGCTCGACGTTTTACTTTTTTTATTTTGTATATTTTGAAAAGTTATTTACAGTGTTCCGTCAACAACCTAGTGATTTCTTTCTATAACCTATCATTTAAGTTTCTTGAGTGAACAATAAAAATTTTTTATATTCAAATTTATGTATGTTACGAGAGGCGTAACTATACCATATGGGGCCCGTGGCAAATCTTCTTTCCTGGCAATTCTTTTAATGGGGCCCTATCAGTAATCGTACCGTCATAACGTAATCGTCCCTACTCGGTTTAAATTTAATAAACTTCTAGATTTTCAGCGTACTCAAGTACACGTTGTATATGTCCCACAAATGGCCATAGGCCTCCTCTCTTAGTCGAGAGGAAATGATCTGTAGTCCCCACACTAGCCTTATGCGTATTGGAGACTTTACATTTATCCATAGAACATAATATCTCTTGGGCAGGGGGCCTGTGGCATTTTGCCAGCCCTGCCACCCTATTGTTACGCCACTGTATGTTACATAGTGGGGAAATAATAGTTTTAGAAAGGCTAAGGTGGGGTGGGGCATGGCAGACAAAGCTTGGGAAACACTGTATTAAGGCGTTTATTTAAGGTTTTACGGAACTTTGCGAAACATATACTAAAGCCGGTCACGGCGGTCCGTCACGTCTCACTCAAGTCTTGAACCTGTATATTGGGGCAATGGTCCAGGAAATACTGACGCATAAGGGTGACGTATTAAAATTCTCTGGTGATGCCTTCCTTTGTATGTGGAAGAAGTCATCAAAGATGAATATGCAGGATGTGGTACACACTGCTATTGATTGTGGTCTGTTGATTCAGAAGAATTATGGTCGGTATTACACAGATGTTGGTGTTACTTTAAAAGGTATAAGGGAATTTAATTTTTAATTCAATAAATTTACTTGTAAAATGGTTACGAGTAGGTACTTATTAGAAATAGGATCAAGCGTGGATTGATATTGCAAGAATAACAATTACTCCTTCACAATTTTGAATCGTACAAGTTTAATATAATACAGGTTTTTTTTTAAATATTTGTAGGTTGGAATAAATAAAAAGTCAGAATAACATATTTCTTGTGTAAGTTTTAATTAATAGACGAGTATTTATGTTAGAAATACATAATTTGATTTATTTTGTGGTGTAGATACTGTTTTAAGTACATAATTATAAAGCCACTCATACATAAATAAATAAGTTTTTTATCGTTTACATTCGCTAAGCAATATTACACCGTTTTTTTCTAGTAAAAATAGCAATAGCTGCCGGTTTATCCCAATTTTCAATCGTCGGTGGTCACGACGAATGCCAATCTCACTACGTGGTGGTGGGACAGCCTGTGTGGGATGTTAAGATAGCGGAGTATATGAGTACCGCTGGGGATGTTCTCACATCAGCTAGTGCTTGGATGTATGTTAATGAGTCTGATTACTGCACGCAGCCATGTGGCGATGGACGGCATACAAAGGCAAGGGAATTACTCTTTTAAGTGTTAAGTTTATGAATACATGAATCCTTCAAAAGAGCTTAGAGCTTACCAATTCTTAAAAAGAAAAGAGCTTACCAATTCTTAAAAGGCCGGCAACGCACTCGCGAGCCCTCTGGCATTGAGAGTGTCGATGGGCGTTATCACTTAACATCAGTTGCGCCTCCTTCCCGCCTTACCATTTGCGCCGTTCTATAAAAAAAACTAAAAAAATGTTTCACAGGCCAGCGTTAGTAACTGTTTTACTTATTATTTTTCTTAAAAGTAAAATTGTTTCCTAGACATTAGGATTCAAGACCATTGTGCATTGTCTAAACAAGTGCGTGACGGAACTGTATATCTCATTTCTATATTAACAAGTTTAGTAAAGCCCAGTTGATTTTTCTTTTTATTAACGTATGGAGGCGAAACGCTGAATAACATACCCCTAAGTGGCATGACCAGATACAAGGCTGAAGGAAAGTGTGTGTATACTTCGGACCCTATCCGAGATATTTTTCCGTCGGATATTGAGATCCACGTCATACGCTGATAACAACTAAAGCACAAGCGCAAAGTTAAATACACTTTTCGTAGGTATTGGGAGTAGGGGCCACATGGAAACGAGTTAAAAAGCTGCACTCATCTGTAAATGTCCATACTGGTAATTGTTATTGGTTCCTTATTATTAGTCCTATATTATTTATCAACAAAATATTAGTAGTTTTAGTCTTTTGAACGCAATATATTGCGATCAGCCTTGCGATTCTAGTAGTAGGTAGCTAAAAAGGCTGATGCCGACATCTACGCCGTAGCTGCTACGAGCTACGCTACGTAAGTTCTTAGACTGAATTAAAATTAAGAGCTTTTAAAATTATAATTATACCTATTTATAGATCCTGAGATCCTTAAAACTTGTGGTGACAGTTCATCACAAATTGAAGGAAGTCCTACAACTGGAATTAACTATAGAGAATTTACTTGTAAGGAATAAAAACCCTTTATTAAATAAATTTAAACTATGATAGATAGATAACGATAACAAATTTAATAGAGACCACGTAAGCCTTAAATAGATCACTGAAAAAAAAACCCGCTTTAAGCTATAACTTAAGTCAAAAATCAAAATATTTTAAACATTACTGTTTTTTGGAATCGATATATTAGGTTCTTACTATGAAATTGGCGTTTTGTATGGGTGGAACAAAAGAAGATTTAAAAAAAAAAGTAAGTATCTATTTAATCAAATTAACGTAAGATTTCTTCCCAATTTCTATAATTATTAATATGTGTTTATGCAAGAGATAATCACCTCGTTAAAAATCTGTGAACTGCGATGCGCAGGTCAGAACAGATAGCTTTAAGACGCGAACATCCGAGGCCCGCGTTGTTAAACCACAGGGATCTTATTAACATTTATTTATTGTTATAATTTAGGATTGGAAAATTCTTAATTTGTACGTATTACGTAGACCGATGTTATTGTTTTATCCACGCTACAGATAAAATTATGATTGATTTAGTGAGACCAGCGGTGATAACAGCAATGCGTAGTACTTGGTGGCCAGCTCTTCGGCGTTATATGGCACCGCCAATACTAAGGGCGGTAGATAACGATGAGCCCATGGATTTTCTCACAGAAATTCGCCATGTTGTGGTGGTGTTTCTTAATATTATAACACGAACCGTCACTGAGGATGTACTCATTGAAGTCGTGAATAATGCTTTTAAAATTGTTTGCTGGTGAGTAATATTATTTCTGGTTACTTTAACTCAACAGTAGTATATTTGTTTGATCTAAAGTTGATGCAACTGGAGCATTTTTCAATCTGTTTCCATGATTTTTTTACATTGGAGTATGTTTTGCTACCTTTCATGAGGGTGCCGCTTCAAGCTAATGCAATAAGATTAACATATAAAACAGAGTATGCTAAAGAAGAGAGAGAAAGAGATAAAGGGAAAATCCTGAGCAAACTAATGTCTTAATTTAGACTATAAAAAAGTTATGTCAAGTCTTATAAGTTGATGCAAAAATTCGAATGTGTCTTTATATGGTTCATGAATGTACGAGCCAAGGCAGTACATTTTGCTTATTCAGGCTTTCTTAGTAATATAAGCGTGGCGATTTCCTAAAGCCCCGAGAGTATAGTCGGACGTAGGCACTCTCTGGAACTGTCACATTGCATTCATTCTTCACATAGCAATTAACATTTCATTATTCGCTTATATTGTATTCATTATTGTTCGCGAATGGTTAATATAGAGTAAAGCTAAAATACTCTATTATTTAAAACACCCCGATGACCCAGGAACCGTACAATGAATATATTAAAAATAGCTATACCTAGTGATGGTAAGTCAAGTACTAGCCAGTTGCGGTAATGTTAATAAAGCCTCATGAAACAAACTAAGATGCTTTGTTTTAGTGTAACATCAAAAACCGGTGGTCTCGTAAACAAAGTCTCAATGTTTGATAAAGATATGATGTTTTTGATGGTGTTTGGTCTTCGTGGCTTAAAACATGAAGATGAAGCTCAGAACGCTCTGTTGTGTGCCAACAAGTTAAAAGAACACTTAAATGATGTGAATATAACAACAGTTAGCGTGGGAGTAACATCAGGTGAACATTTTTTAAGCGAGATAAATTATCGATTGAATTTCCGCGATTCAAGTGAGCACATAGCTTCATATTATGTCTTCTGATAAAAGTAGTCTAATATAACATATAGATATTCAAAGTTTGTTAGCTAACTTCGGAACTGCCTACTAGCCGTTTTTATGTATGAAAAATGCGTTCTTCATAGCAAAACAACCCCTCGTAGCAATTAAAGTAGGGTGGATATAGTATACGTAAATTCTTTGTATAACCCGATTTAAATAGATTATGAACTTAGCCCGATATTTTGTTATTTTATAAGTGCAATTACTTAAATTGAAATAGTCAAAAAAATCTTCATTTCTGGTTTCGTCTTAACGTACAATTAAAACTTTAATTCTCTTATATCGTATAAGAGGGGGTAAAACGACATTAAGTAATAAAGAACGCGATAAAATATGAGTAGATTATATGATGAATAGGTTTTTAATTTTAATTCCACGAACATGTACAAGTATTTAATGCTTAATAAAATAATTTTAAGGTTCCACTTATTGTGGAGTCGTGGGTCACGCATTACGCCGCGAATATACTGTTATAGGATCTGCAGTTAATAAGGTATGGAAAGCTTTCTGTAGTTTACATGTTAGAAACTGATAAAACGACGATTAAATGACATCTAGGGACTAGTGTTGGTTGTATGTACCAACAGCAACAGATTCCCACTTTAATATGAAGTTCTTGCTCTACGCATTTGCAGCATAAGCCGAATTTGGTCCGTGATATTTTCTTCTCCCCATTGCTGATGCGTTCGTCGAGTTCTTGCAGGAGAAATATTCTATTATATCAAAATATTAGCCAGTATAGGCATTAATTGGTGTAATTACAGGCGGCGCGACTTATGATAGCGTACCCTAATAAAGTTACGTGCGATAAAGAAACGTTTCTAAGAAGTAAACTCGACCAAGATTATTTCAAGTTAATGGAAGCTAAAATTCTAAAGGGATTCACTAATCCTGGACCAATTTACGAATTTAACCGTTCTAGGTAACATTAATATCTATTTACTTAAAGTTAAGAACTGTACGAACACTTATATCTGGAGGTACGGCAGTGCGCCCGCCAAGTCAAGTAAAAAAGCAGCACGGTCATACCATTATTTTCTCGAAGTTCAGTTCAGAACTTCGTTGTAGATAAAATTAGAAGCAATCGCACTAAACAATTTAATGTAATATAACATTTATTGCTTTGTTTCCATGCGATGGCCAGGTCAATATATTTCTTTAAATATAAAAGATATTGATATGGTCGGTATTACGTTGTTATGTTAGCTAATTATGTACTAACTTGAGAAAGAATTATTTATTATTTATATAATAAATTTAATTTAACCATATTCGTTACATGGATATCATATCTTTTAAGTTTTAAGTAGAAGCGTTACCAGGTTTTTTATGGCAAGTTATGTTTTTAATGGCATCTAAACTTTTTCAACTGGTTCATATCGTCAAAATGTTGGCGTGATTCAAAACAATTTCTATATCTATTCTTGTTTATAGCACTAAGAGAGTCAGCTATTCTCATCCAATATTGGGCCGTGATGAGGAACTCCAAGTTTATCTATCTACTCTGAGGAAGGCCATTGATGAATACTCTAAGAAGTTCACGCGATATAGGGACCATAAATTTGCAGTGGCTATAGTTGTAAATATTCTTTGATATAAATATTTTTTTATAGTATGTACCTAGATAAAATTCAAAACATTAAAAGTTTTAATTATGAAAGTTCCTAAAGCTTTCAAGAAATTGCGACCAACGTAAAATATTTTATTATTATTATTAAGCCTTTATTGCTGACACCCAGTATAATTTATATAAACACTTGTTTAAGTTACATAACTTAATTTAATTCATCTGATGTGCCGGTTTTGGTGATCAGCGTGTTCATAGGCCTCTTCCAGCTCCTTCCATTCTTTTCTAATGTTAGCTCTTTATGTCCAAGTTGTGTCTCTTATTCCCTTTATATCGTCTGTCCACCTGTTTCTCTGTCTTCCTCTTTTCCTTTTTACAACTCGTTGTTGCCATTCTGTAATAATTTTTGTCTCATATGACGAGAGATAGTATGTTGAAATGGACGAAACGTAAGATATAGTCAAACAATATTATATATCATTAATATCTTACAGGGTTCTAGATTGGCGGGAAAAAGTCGTTTGATGGCTGAGTGTCTCAATATTACCCCTAAATTCGTGGAGATAGATCAAATTATACTTACAGAAAACGATAATGTAAGATTTCTTTACAATTATTGCTTATGATAAGGATGGTAGATATTCTTCGCTTCTTAAATTTGTATCATTAATCACATTAAGTATTATCGTATAATGATTGTTTAGGGTATTGAAAACTTGTTTGTTGTTTCTAGAAGAATATAAAACAGAAATTATCTATACCTATTGTATATTTATTTATTTATTAAAACTTCGTTACATTACAAATAAAAACAAGTGAAGTTATTAGGTTTGAAACGGGCGGCCTTATCGCTAACAAGCCATCACTTCCAGGCGACCCTTGTAATGGTAAAAAAAAAGAAATACAATACGGGTAAAGTGCAAGAAGTGCATAAACAAATCAACAAAAATATAATTAGATACAAGTGACATCGAAAAATTATACAATTACCAAACTAAATCTAAAATAAATAAAAAATAAACTTAAAACTAAAAGATCTTTATCTACTCTGAAATTAGCTAAAGCTTCTCCAAAATACGTAACTTACAGAAGTCATTCATTCATATATTCATATATATTCAATGTACACTTATGAACGTCAAAAAATATATATATATATAGATACGTATATATGAAATTACTAATTCTACATTTACTGCCACTTCTCAAATCAAGAGCGTAGAACGGAAGAGAAGAACTGGCAATAAACTTGCCGCCACCCTTTTTTTCTTTAGATTCACGATTGAGCAGGATAGGATATGTTTAAGTGTTTATGAAGAAGACTTTTAAAAGAAGTTAGGAAGGTAGCCAATCGTATTGAGTCAGGGAGCGTATTCCACAACTTAATGGCAGAGATCCTAAACGACTTGCCTTAAAAGGACGAGCTGAACGATGGAATTTACAAAATGCATCTATTAGAGGAGCGTATTATATAAGGACATAAGTATTTGAATTGTTTTTAGATGAGTTCTATCTACTAGAACTCAATAGGCAGCTATACATTTTTCTCTATTTTTGATATATCATGGATAAACCAAAAAAGAATGAAGCTTTAAAAAAATATCGTAAATTTTTATTAAAATCAAAACATCCAATTTATGGTATTGCTACTGTCATCATTATTTTTCAGGTACCGTACCAATTACTAAGACTTATTATGGGTCGGCTATTCAAAGGTATTGCACGATCATCGCGGGAAAATCGAGAGAGCAGAATAAGATTTACGTAAGATCAACGCTTGGTTACTATTCTTACCATTGTTATAATAATTTTCCTTGGATAAAGTTTCCTTACTAATAAAACTTGACGTGTTCTAAGTAATGTTGCCATCAATAGAAATGATTTGAAACTCCAGTACTAGGCACATTTTAGAGTTATCCATATCCTAGGTAATAAATATATATTTTTCAGAACTTGTAGCTTTCATTAATTTTATAATCACCGTTTATTATTTCAACCGTACCTAAGAGTCTGTATAAGCTCCTTTCGCAAAAATATGTGAGAAGTAGGTTAGCTTGCCATAATATAAAAATAAAAAAGTAGGTTAGCTTAAGTGCTTGTTAGAAGGTGAAATTATATATATGTTTACTTATTTATAGATTGGACATGACATCACTTCGTCCTCTAGAAATCTATGCCATCAATACAATATTTGACTGTCGTTTCCCATTGCCAGAGAGCTTTCAGTACGATGACAGCGAAGATTTACTCAAAGAGTATCAAGTTCGAATTTTGATGCAGAACATTTTTGAAGCGGTAATTAGTTTATGTAACAGGAGGCAAACAGGCAGGAGTTTCACCTGATGTTAAGTGATACTGCCGCCCATGGACAGTCAATACTCGCGTTGCCGACCTTTTAAGGCTTGGTGCGATCCTTTCTTGAAGGCCCTAAGTCGAATTGATTCGAAAATACTTCGGTTGTGATATTCCATATAGGGATGGGGCGCGGCAAAACTGCCGAAACGCTCAGTTTTTGAACGACGGGCGCCGTATTGATACGGATTGATAAATTGTATTTTGCCTTGACGTCCGATAATGAAACTCAGCTGGAGGTATTAATCTAAACTCTTAGAACACTCTCCATGGTGAATGCGGTAGAAGATGCGGTAGTTTTGCAATGACCAAAATTATATCTAGTTAACATAAAAAAGAACAATCTTAAGAGTTAAGATATATTTTTAATATTTTATAGATACAAAAAAAAATCTTGTTTTTTCAATATGTACACAATTATATTTGCGCGGAACATGTTATATTAATATCCAATTCACTCCTTATTCTTTTTTTACAATTTATTACACACAAAATAGCATAGTAGGGTGACAGAAAATAATTATTTCGTAGGCGCTACGCAACGCTTTACGCCGCGCCGTAGGGCAACGGAAGGCTAAATCTATTTGCTATTTGCGTATAGGAAATATTGTGACTTATAAGTTAAATAAGGTAAACTGCATATTTAGGAGTTACAAGATGTAATGTCAACTGTAGATATGATACTGATATCCAGTTACTGAATTAATAATTAATTAATACATCGTGGTAAGCTTTCTATCTCTTTTAAGAGTTTCAAGCAACTACGCGTGGTGGCTGTGGCAGAAGCTCAACACATTGATGATGAATCTTGGAAAGTGCTGTTATTAATCCTTCAATATAAAATATGCTTTGTTCTACTCACAATTACAGATGAGGAAAAACTTTCGCGTAAGGACGATTTATCCAAAACTTTTTTTAAATAATATAAACTAAAATCTGACCAATTCTAAAAGACTAACTCAGTAGTTCGATGGATCCCCGGCTGTGCATCAATAGACTTTCTATGTGCGCATTTAACATTCGCTCTAATAGTGAAGAAATACATCGTAAAAAACCGGCGTGCTTTAGACCCAAAAAGTCGACAGCGCGTGCCAGGCACAGGAGACTGATCACCTACTCACACTCACTACACCTACAAATGATCATGAAACAGATACAGAAATCTTTAGGCCCAGCCCTAAAAAGGTTTTAGCACCACAGATTAATTGGAACGAAGTTCCTTATCGCGCGTTGTGAAAGGGGGCTAGACGGAAAAAATTCTTACGAAAAGTTGTCACGACACTTTTGCTATTTGCTATTGTAATACACCGGTTCTCGTCCGATCACTGAAGTTAAGCAACGTCGGGCGAGGTCAGTACTTGGATGGGTGACCGCCTGAGAACACCTCGTGATGTTGGCTTTTTTTTGTAGGGATAAGAAATGAAAATTATTTTTGGAATCACTTAACTAAATTAGTCTTGTTGAAACGAAGTTATCGAGCGTTGCGAAAGGGGGCTAGACGGAATAAATTAAGACCAAAAGTTGTAACGACACTTTTTGCTATAGTTGTTATATTTTACATTTTCGATTTAGCTATCGCCAACGTCCATACCACGTTGAATTCACCGGTTCTCGTCCGATCACCGAAGTTAAGCAACGTCGGGCGAGGTCAGTACTTGGATGGGTGACCGCCTGGGAACACCTCATGATGTTGGCTGTTTTTCTTTGTCGTAAGATTGGTGTCGAGAAAATCTATCATACTGTTATGATACCAATTAACATATAAATTAATCGAAAGGAATTTCGTTCCATCCGGGTGTCCCTTGACACCTCTAAAGTTTTATTTTTTATTTTCATGTACCCTTAGGCCCTTTCTCCACTGCTCCGGTCCGACGTCGGATACCGGAATGAGTCATGAGAAAAATATCGGAAGGCCGGATTGCGCTTCTCCACTATTTCCGATCCGACAATAATCGATACTTGTGTATTTATCGTGCAACACTTATATTAACTAAAACCCATATACTTAATTTTATTACTAAAATGTTCTAAATTCTGAATATTTTATTGCCCTGGCTAGTTAATTACTTTTTTTATATTGTCTATCTTGAAATATTATAATCTACTTAATAAATAGTTCACTAATACTATGGTATAAAAATATAAATAAATAGCAACATAGTTTGGTTTGGTCCAGGTTATCCAGATTCTTTCAAATTAAAGAAACTATAAATAAACCTATGAATAATAATTTATAACCTCTTGGATATACTTGGACCGATAAAACACCGCGTTCCGAACTAGCAAGTTATCGGATCGTTAAAAACCGGATGCCGGAGTAGTGGAGAAGCACGTAAGTACTGTTGTTAGTTTCTAAATCGGATCGGTAATTAACGTTTGCCGGACCGGAGCAGTGGAGAAACGGCCTAAAAACACCTTAATAAAGCAATCTAGCTAATAGTATTAAATAAGCTTAATCTATGATTCAACCGCCTATGAAAATCCCAGCTGTGCTACCATTTTATAAATAGGCTTCGGCAATTAAGTTAGTATGGATTTTGTATAGTGGGGTATACTGTTGTGGACATAGTACTTACAAGCACAGAATGTATAATGAATGGATTTCTCGACCAGAAACTTTGACAATTTGACCAAATTTCGTTTTAGAACCAATGACAAAATCTACTTACTATTGTTTAGGCTCACGCGCTATCTTTGCGAATAGTTTCCTGTCTTCTAAACTCTGTTTGTTCTGAAAGGTTATAATAGTATATCTTTCGCATTTCTAGTTCACTCTTTTTCCAGATGTGGGTCGTTCGGCCTTAAGTAACCACATGATCGTAAAGTTGCAAATATCTGGAATCGATCGTCGATATCTCGCTGCCCTTGCGTGTCAATTGTTGGATGTGCAGGCTATACCTTCTGAGCTTGATAAGTTAGTCTATTACAATACATCTAAGATGCCGTAGCTGTAAGTATAATATAAAACTCTCGATCGAATCTATCCTGGATTTTGGCAAAGGTGGACTAACGATGTAGTGTGTTTTTCAACATGGAAAGAATATGATACAATAGTAGGTACCTACTGTATAAGAATACAATACAATTGGCACGTGGACTTATATAATAAAAGCGTTTTTAAGAATTTGAGTGAAGGATAGAGAAAACAAATACGTGATGCAAACAAGAATACGAATTCATTCATCAAATTATCGAGAGTCGACAGTAATACATTTAATAGATTCGCCACGTTGTATTGATCTTCGCATTGTAATGACACTTCAATATTTTAAAGGGTGATTGAGAGTGCAAGCGATGGTCTTCCTGGTTGGATTCAAAATTTTCTAATTTGTCTGGTTCAAAGGGAACAGTTGACAATGGTAACTGTACCGCGAACACAGGCTTTAGATACTGGTGCACTTACTCCACCCACATGCCTTCTAAAGAAGCCCGATGGCAAAACTAGCATATCTTCAGAGAGCTTTGTAAGTATTGTGTTAGCGTTAAAGATGAACAATAATAATAGTAGTTTATGCAACTGTCATATAATAGAGGGTATTAAAACATGAGTGTAGTTTTTTATAATTACACGAAAGTTTTAGTACCTAATTATATGCAGTTGCATACACTACTTTATTTAATCTCATGGCTATAGGTTTCCAAATCATAAAGTCTTAGTAACATTTGTCGTACGCTTTTCTTGATTTTTCTGGCAATAGACTATTCGTCAGCTTCGTAGCTGGTTCTAATGTCAGGTGGAATTAAATTTTCATCGGTATCGTCGGTGTTGCTTGACATTTTTGCTACTCAAGTTTTATCCAACAAAATTTTAAATTCGTATGTACGAAATAGCGCCAATGGAAAAAGTCTGTTATTGGTCTATTGGCCCGGAGCCAGCGCGCTCACAACATATTATGTGTACTTAAATTGAATTGAAACCTCCTTGGTCGGGACACATTGTACTTTAATAATTAAAAAAATATTTTAAAGCATTTTTTTGTTAGGAGAATAATGCTTTATAGTATTGTCTTTGACTTTGATTAACATAGCCTTTACACATTTAAAGAAAAACGCTTTTTACCGGATTAAAGTTATGTTTATTATTATAAATTTACAACTATTTGACATATATGGTCACCGTGACCACGCACGCTGTAAAGCACGCGAAACGTCGGATAAATTTAAAATTATGTCAAATAGTTGTAAATTTATAATAATAAACATAACTTTAATCCGGTAAAAAGCGTTTTTCTTTAAATAATGCTTTAATTCAATTTTTTAATTTTCTTAAAGTATATAAAATATGCCAATAAAAGTCTGTATTTTATTTCATAATTAGAATATTACCGAATGAGATTATATAAAGTAATTAATACAATATTTGCCATTATATGACGAACGTCTCTCTCGATTTTCATTAAATGCTATGATCTACTTTGCTCTTGTACATACTTTTTATTGACAGCTATACTATAGGTATTTAGGTTAGGTTCTTTTGTGGTTAACCTAAAAGATAACAGAGAGGGATAATGTTCTTTTACGATGATTCTTCAGAAACTTTGTATAGGTAGGTACATTATATCACGCGAACAATGTCACGGAAGATGTTATAATTATTTCCATCTATATATTTTCTCCTGTGCTTTTTATATTATTAAATAATCGTAAAAATATATAAAAATTGTATGATTAGAGTAAACCAGACAAGGGATGTGACGCCAGTATTGGAGAAGACCGTCAAAGCGATATAATTCAAATGGCTGTTCTATCCAAATATTATAATTTCGATGATGTCAAGGTGGACATGAAGATGGACGGTACATTTTCACTTTATACTGCGTTGATAAATAATTCGACAGCACGTGCTAAAAATTGAATATTTTCATTAAACTACAACATTCATTTTTTTAACAGTATGAAATTAAAGTGGCTTTATTTTTTATACTATGCCAACTATGTATATTCGTCTAATACGCCAACGGAGCGTTAACCAAGTATTCTATATTTTTATAATAACTTTAGTATTTACGTTAACAATTACCTTGCATATCATTACTGTTCTATGGTGTTTTCTTGCGAGTAGTCTGGTACATTTTTGGAATATATTCAGAATGTACCAGACTACTGATATATATATACTACTATGACAGAAGCCAGCCATAACCGACGAGCATGTGGGGTTAATAGGAGAGTGATGGAAGCGACATATTTAAAAAACTAGAGGTGTCTGGGAAACAGGCTATATACCTACACAAGCTTTTGTCTTCATCATCAAAATATATAACAATAATTTCCAACAGTGATATATTTATTGATTAATTATGTATTTATTCAAGATAACAGACACAAATTTAGGATATATAAAAAGAAATACTAACTATAATTACCTAGAGAAAATTTCTTTACAATTTCAGTTTTAATACTGAAAACCTACGACTCGCTAACACCGTTTGAGAAAATGCTTTTAAAATGCAGTTCCGTTTTGGGCGATGTATTTTCTCGAAGGATGCTTCTGCACTTACTGCAATGTGAATCGCCGCGAAAAGTTGCAGAAGGTAGTACTTAACTAGAATTTAGCTAAAAGTTTTTGAAACTAACCTCTCAAAATCTCACTTTCAAACCTCAATACTCTGTAGGTATCTGATTCTAAATATTTTTTTTATTAATAGGCAAGCAGGTGATCAGTCTTCGAGTATGTGTGCGTAAAACACGCGCACGATTTTCGTGATTAAGACATGGCTCTTGATGTTTTCGACGTGAGAATGTTAAATTGTGTACATTTTTCATGTGTTAAGCACAGTCGTGGTTTGAACGTAAGATTTTCATTATGAACCAATACTGCTCACCATTTATTATGAGCAATTTAAAATTATTTAAATTAGTAAACGTCTGATATAATTTTAAAGGAAAATAACGGTCCTAACCAATTCTAACTTTATTCAATAAGAAAATTCAAAAATTGAGTTAAAAACTTAGATGAGTAAAACCACTTGCGAGCTATTGTTCCTTTTTTTTTCAGCGGTGGCAAAATTATTTTCTATACGAGTATTGGAATGCGAAGGCGGTGATTTTACTCGCGATCATTCGAGGGTACTTATTAATGCCGCACCAGTTTGCAAGGAATATGTTCTGCCTTTTTGTTTTTGTCTCGGAACTAAGCGATTGAGTAAGTAGCCTTACATCTGATAAATGTTATAGGTTCCAATTTAAAACCATCTTGGGTTTAATTTGAATTTGCGCTAAGTAAGACCTCCCAAAAACGGACTTGGCACATGGGAGTCATAGTTAGCGCTAAGTTCTGGTTTTGAATAATTGGTTAAAGGTTTGTTCTGATTTTGAAAAATTTGTTAGCTCTAAGTTCTGATTTTGAATAATTGGTTAGCGCTAAACTCTGATTTTGAATAATTGGTTAGCGCTAAACTCTGATTTTGAATAATTGGTTAGTGCCAAGTGTGTCAAATCTACCTTCCTAAATAATGGAACATTTATTAAAGGTATTTGAAATACATTAAAATAAAGATTTCCTAAAGGTCTCTGTAAAGAATTACGTTTATATTGATTTATTTCAGACGATTGCGATGATCTACCCGCTTTTGCGTTTTGTGGTTATATGAAGTTTAGACATACGCTGTTTAGAAGTACCACCTACGATTTGCTCACTGATTGTCAAAAGGTTATTGAAAAATTTTATCAAAATCTTTCCATTAACATAGACCGAACCGGACCGGACCGAAGGCCCTAGTGGCTAAGGCCGAGAGCGCGTTTGATGGAATGCCGTTTATTGAAGTCACATTCAAAAAATTCAAAAATCATTTAATCATATAGGTAACACATTGTACACTTATGACTTACTACAATAATTATCAATTCTAAAATGTAGACCAAAAGCTAAAAAGAGTTGTAACACATGATGTATTAATCATAATTAGCTTTTATAACATTTGCAATATTAAAAACAATAATTACATAAAATCTCATAAAGTCTGCCGACGAACTAAATTCGAACAATAAATTCTTATACGTGACAGGCTCATTTTATAAATAAATACAGCTATATGTTTTCTTCTTAAATCATAAAAAGAGTGTGATAGAAGAATTTTTAAAACGTTTCAGAGAGAAATGCATTCACGTGCCTTGCTGTATCTTGAGAGGTTCACACGGAAATGTTCGTCTTGTGGTTATGGTTGCTTTTCACGGCTTTTTGGACTTAGGTGTGATGATGTAAGTTCTAGAAGTTTTAAGATTATGAACTAAAACCCGCGGTTTCACCCACCATACTTTGAGACCATTATTGTATTTCGGAGTTATTTGAATACTATGACTGAAAGTTGAAATCAAATTAATCAAGGACTATTTTGTGAATGAAATACTTAATGAATATTACAAGTTTAATCATGACAAAGAAGTTTATAGTGAAGCCAAACTGCTGATGAACACCTCCGTACATGTTTTTGTACAACTTACTGATTACGCAACGCACTGCTCACGAAAAAAATGGGGCGTTGGAAAAAAAATCCTTTTTCCGACTCATTTTTAAAATTCGAACCAAAAGTTCTTTTGTTTTCGTTTCGTCGTAACCATACAATCAATCAGCTTTGTGATATTAGAATATACAACTATTATTTTGGAATCATATATTCTCAGGTTTTATTAAAACTTGTAGTAATATGTATACTTTTACATCCTCTTGATTTTAGGGCTTAAAGAAAGAAACGGAAGATTTAAAACAAACGCGAGAGCAAATACGTACTTTGAACGCAGAGTCAAAAGTCTCGGAGAGTAATATTTACAGCGCTATCGGAAATATTAACGAGTGTGGAGTAAGTTTAGATTCGTATGAACGTTTTACACTTACAAAAAAGACAGATACTGGCCATTTATAATTTTGTTTTAAGCACTTAAAAGAGCGTAGGAATCGACCTCCAACTGTTGAAAGCAAGAGTGTACTCCTCCCTCAAAGGCCGGCAACCCACTAAAAAATTAGTGTCTATGGGTCGTAGCCCATGGTGACTATCCTTTTGGGGTAGTTTGACCCCTATTCTATATAACCAAATGAGGTCATCAATTTGACGTGTTATTATTTATGATCAAAATTCTACAGCCTTCCGTACATTGTTACATCTCACATTTAGTTGTGACTTGTGGCCAATTACAGTTTAAATTAAGTACATATTAAAAGATAAGACATTATTTCTTTTTTTCTTTTTACATTCAATATTAGACTGATAGGATCTTCTTAGCGGTATATAAACAGGATCTTGGTAATAGAAGATCGATCAATAGCAATATGAAATATTGTTTTTTATACGGAGTTAGTTCCATTTAAAAGAAGCAGTTCTTAAACTATGCTATAAGTTTTGTTGACGAGCGATCTCTTCCAGGCAAACTCTGACAAAATTATTTATTAAATTAGATAAGGTAAGCAAGAAGTGCAAAAATACTTATTACACATATTTACTAAGACAAAACAGGAACAAAAACACTAAAATAAAAAAAAGGATACATGAAAAATAATCAAATAAAGTGCACATGAATCACGATAATTTTAGATTATAGATCAGTCTCACGTCAGTTAGTATTTACGAAAGTTAGGAATACGATATGGACAGGTAATGTTTAGAAATTTAAAGGAATATAGAGAACAAAATTACACACAGTTTCTATGTATGCACAATGCACATGCAGTCCATGGCAATGTTCAATGTAAGGGCAATCCGGCCTTCCCGCTATCACCCCCAGCATGCTGTTAGAGCTCCCTTGTATACGCAGAGAGGGAGCTAGCCTGCGTATCGTGGCGTCCAAAACAGTCCACCTGCACAACCAAACATTTCACAAAGGAATCCACTGACTTAAATTATTTGTCGTTGATTTTTTATGTACATCTTTTACAGTTCATTAGCCGTCGCGGTTCAAAAGCCCTAACTGACTCAGAAGGTAAAGTTAAATTTATTACGAGTATTTAAAATTTTATGGCCGTAAAAACAGTTAATTGTATTGAATACTGCTGGTACATTTACGAAAATTAAAAAAAAATGAAAATATACATGGGATTGGTTTTCATCGTTTTCCCGGGAAAGATTAAGTAAGTTAAGTCAAAATTGTATTGGATTTAGACAAACGGAAATCTCTTTTAAGGCCGGCAACGCACAAGCCCTCTGGAATTGAGAGTGTGAATGGGCGGCGGTCACTTGACATCAGGTACCTCTTTTCCATTTGGCACTGTTCTATAATTTTTTTTTCAAATTAGATTTGTATATATATGAACAAGACTTAAAAATTAGTTTGCCAAAGAAGTTTCACTTCTGACATGTGTACTTTAACGCACGCACTTTTTTAAAATGTATTTTTAATTATAGAATTATCAGTGTAGTTCTATCGTGTTAGTAGTAACTGTTAATAATTATGTGGGAAATAATTAAATGATTTCAGCTGATTTGAGGCGCGTCAGTCGTTCCATTCAAATCCGAAAAGACACGAAAATTCCATCTTTCTCATCAGTTGAGGTGAACTCTTGTGAATGTATGCCTATACTACTAACTGCATATTCTCAGGGTATAAATCACTGTCGCTGGGCTGGTAAGAATAATTTTGTTTCTCCGATTTATTTTTGTGAAATTAGATTGATTATTGTTCCCCTGGTCTTCTAATCTTCGAAATTTCCATTAATTATATTGTTTTAGTTAGTTAAAACAATATAATTATTATTATTTTGTTTTATTGTTATTATTAATAACATAAATAATAATAATAATTATATTGTTGTAGTATGCTGAAACTATACTCTCACTGCAAATTTAAAAGAAATAATAATAATTTCGTAGTATATCTTTTGAATATTAGGTATGTCACCGTAAAATTGTAAACACCGTTAGATTAAAATTTTACTTCCCAACGAATTAACAAACAAATGTGGTGGCGCGGGGTATATTCCGTTCAACCAATCAGCGCGCGAGGTGCAATCCGTTTCACAATTTGACGGTTTCACTTCGATAGATTACAATCTACCGTATAATAATACGTTAAATTGTAAGCAGTGCGTTGCGGTTCACAATCTTTCGACAGTTCATAATCTCGCGAGATAGATTACAATCTAACGGTGTTTACAATTTTAGTAACAGGTATACTACAAAATTTGTGTTGTAATTTTAGAAATTAATCTAATTAATTGATTAAACATTCTGTTTTCCTGGCTTTACTGATGTTTTTGACTCAAATCTGTCTGCGATTTCCTGATTACTGCAATAAATTTGTGTTCATCTGTTAAATATTTATTTAGTTAGAAGTATTTTCAAAGGTGATAGTGAAAAGTTGTTCGAGGCATATTTAGAGTACGCCGATTTAAGTAAATTGAACGCTAACATTCCCCAAGCGATACATCTCCTGTATGAAATCGAAGAGATAATAAAAGTATGTCCTTATTAATAATTTACCAAAATTATGCCATTTCGATAGTCGTATGCATTTTTCTGAAAGTTAGAAAATCAAAAGAAGATAGTTCTTATCGCCATGTGTAATCAATCAGATGGATTCAGTAGTACCTGAAACAAAGACAATTATTATATAAATTTTTCCTTATACCTATATATACATAAAGTAGAATTATGTTCACGTAACTTCAGTGTCTTATTCATATATGTACTAAATTCTTTTGCTATGAAAATAATTACTAGGAAATATTTTCGGTTTGGGATCATCAGATGGCATCATTTATCAGTATATAAAAACTAGGGTAAATTATTATTAAAACCAACACAGCATGGAGCATTCGTTAAGGTCGTTTTTGAATATGTTTAAGCTGTAATAGAGGTCCAAGGAGTGAATGAATCTGTCGTTCACTATTTAGAAAAAACACCGTTCTTTAAAATATAATGAAATAGATTACTATTGGACCACTCTGAGGGCTTTCAGTGGTGCTTAATAATCCTATTTGATAAGAATATTATGTAATGTCTAATCAGAATATCAAATACTTATCTGTCAATGTTATGTGGCAGTCTTTTGCCTACCACGACTGCCGAAAAGCACTTTCAACGTCGAGTTATGTTAGTAATAAAATAATAATATATTAATCAAAGAGGATTTATTTAAATGCTTATTACAGCGCGATGATTATCATCAAGGTAAAGGCATAAAATGGTTATTTGACTCAAAATTGGCAAGGATCTATTCGTTGCGTGGCACTTGTTTGTTGGAGTGTGGCGATTTGAAGAAGTCCCGCGAATATTTGTACTACGCAATGAACCTCTTTAAGGACCCATTTCCAGAGACAAAGTAATTAAAGAATATACTATCTTATAGTCTACTACTAACTACTATACTAGATCAATGTAGTTATAATTTTAATCCCAGGCTAAAATATAAAATAACGTAAAAAAGATTTTGATTTTATTATAAATCAATAAATAGTAGGTCATTTAAGCTGTACCAAGCCGTTTATCATTGCAGAAATACTAAAAGGCTTCGAAGCTATCTATGCTCGGTCAACCAAGTCATGGCATTATATGCACCAAAGTTTTATGTGGGGACTGAAAGTGGGGTCGTTGCGGACTTTTTTGAGAGTATTGCTTGGAATTTATGCAATCTTTTTAAATTATTCAAGGTTAGTTTTGGTACTCGTTTGTTTATGTGCAGGGTGGATTAAAATATAAATATTCAACGAAGAGCGGTTCGAATCGTCGACGACCATCCCTTTCCGAACGGCTTGATCCCTTGGCGTTGCGTAGAGATTTGGGGTCACTCTGAATCTTCTACCTCGTTTACCACGTAGAGTGTTCAGACGAGTTGTTCGGATTAATACCTGCAGCTGAGTTTCATCAACGGACGTTGAGGCAGAATACGAAATTTCACCCGTATCACTTCGACGCCCGTCGCTCCACAACTGAGCGTCTTTAAGCCAGTTTTTACTGCGCACTATATAGAACCATTTGCCCACTGAGTATTTCCAAACCAATTCGACTTAGAGTCCTTCAAGAAAAGAGCGCACCAATTCTTAAAAGGCCAGCAACGCACTCGGGAGCCCTCTGACATTGAGTGTCCATGGGCGGCGGTGTCATAAAACATCAGGTGAACCTCCTGCCCGTTTGCACCCTGTTCAATAAAACAAAAACATGGTCAATGTTATATAAAAACCTAATCTTTACGCTTAATATGTCAAAAAATATTATAGAAGTTTAAGATACAGTTCTCATCCTGAAGAACTTAGGTTTTATCGCTAGCCTTTATCGAGTTGGATAAACATATGAATACTTTATCAGACATAAAAGTGTTAACTTTCGCTTAAACGGATAAGATTCAGAATTGAGAATTAGCGCTAAGTCTGACTCCCGTACGTCATGTAGATTATGACATAAGGCAGTCAAAGTTCGCGCTAAGTGCAGTTACTCTATCTTCTTCTTTTGGTGCCTCTCTAGAGGTTGGCCGTCAGTCTTGTTAAGCGTGTCTTGTCCTGTGCCAGATGCAGCACACCACAGAAGAATGTGGACGGGTACTCTTTCGCAGTACCCGTCCACATTCTTCTCCTGTATCTAACACAATTTTTTCAATTTAAAGAAGTAATTAGAAACGTTGGTTAAGGCGCATAGGGAGTTATTTATTACTAACTATTATAATAAGCCTCACAGTCACAGTAATTATACTTTTATTATAAAGGAACTAAAGGAAGAACATAACGCGGCTTTGGCAGCAAAATGGTCCCTCAATTACGCTATTAAAGCAGACAGCAACTTTCGTCTTCTATGCACAAGCTATGGAAATGTGATAAATGTTTATCGACAACAGCAAAAGGTATTTAAAAAATATATTATTCTGTAGATTTCGATAACACACAATAAGCTAATATTTGCATATAAAAGTTGTAAAAAAAGTATCGAACGTTTGCACGTGCAGCTTTAGTTCAGTAAGAAACGTAATAACTTTGGTCAACTTCTGTGCCTGGAATTACACCACTTAGCTTCGCCATTCCTTTTTTTTGTAGCCTTTTTCCGAACCAAACACAATGTAAACGATGACTGATCATAGGAAAATAACGATAAATATTTATAATATAGTCTGTAACATTTCTTTATTTCAACGTTTCACTCTTAGCTGGTTTTACATTACTAATTGTGAAAAGTATTTGCACAAAATTTGCTTTAAAGCGTTTCTTATAAGATGTATTCTTTTAAAATTTTGACATTCAGTTTAGATTATGTCGACGTTTCGAAAATAAAGCGCGGGAGTTGTGTAACCGGAAACGCGGCCATGTTGACCTCATGGAGGCGCACGCAGTTGGTCATCTTTATACTAACATATTTCTCTACAAGTGAGCATTTATTTATAAAAATATGACTTTTAATATATATAAATTATGTTTAATTTACAATACATAAAATACCACATCGCGTTGTTTAGGGGCAAAACGTTATGCTTTTAACTTTAAATTCATAGTGTAACTGTATTCGAAACTTTTTGTTTTATAGACTTGAAGTATATAGAATGAACATAAATATATTATTTATTAATTATATATATTGGTATTGTTTGCGTATTGTTTACTAACGTATAATTAATTAAATTTTATGTAAATTATTAACAGTGTCCAACGTGGAAATAAAATGGAGAGTTTAGAATTCGGTCTTTCAGTAATGCGAATTATGACGGATTTATCAGATATTACAACGAGAGAATCGCTAAATTTTTGGATATTAAAGTTACTTCTTACCGAGCTACGAATTCACCAAATGGTGTCTATAATGAAGGAGGTTATGTACCAGGAGCACATAGATGTGAGCAGTTAGTATTTTTTAGATGTCGTACAGTCTTGGGATGGTACACAAATGAACAATTAAGGCAATTATTTACAATTCAAAGTATTCTGGTAAAATGTGTTTATAACTTTCGCCATGAATACAGCTTATCAACGTTGTCAGCCTTTTACGATTGCTGTGTTCTAGAAGTTCGGTTTTAGTCTTAATCATTATAATGATGAATTGAGTGGCTGTATACAGCCACTCAATTCTTAAGAGTAGACTAAAAACTTGGGTGATAATATTAACAAATGTTGATAATGGCAACACAAAAACCATCTTTGTCAACCAATATTAAAAGAAAAACATTAAAATAATGATTTGATTTTGATCCATTTCCTTCGTTTTAAATTGAATAAAATTTATGATTGGATGTAAATGCAATTCATAAACAGTTCTTCATATTTGGAAAGGTTTTGGTCTTTTGGAGGAGGTGAACTTATTTTTTTTTTTTCACTTTTAGCGGAAGTCTGGTACCACTTTTATTCTATGTCAATATTTTTGGACACCGGGTACTGTGTTGAATCGTATAAAACGTGCGAGACATTTTACGTACAGAAGGGCGATTTCTTTTTAAGGTCCAAGACTCCGGAAGCCGGGTGGAACTTTTATGCTTGCATGTGGCTTTTGTAAGGACTTATTTATTTTTAAAAAACTACAGTACTTCTCTGTATCTTGAGGGAGTGAATGCGACTCCTATTAACTCCGCGTTATAAGCTGTTATTTTTATTTTATTTTGTTTTACACTGGTGTAAATTTCAATTATTAATTAGAAAGTATTTCCGAACACTTAGACAGGTCGGTACTGACTGTGTCACTACCCTTTTCCTACAATTTCTCACTAGCATGAATATTTGCTTTTATTTACTTTTAATAGATTACTATTACTACAGTCACAATCTGTTATAACGACATCGAAGGAACTACTCATATTTGGTCGTAAAACCCGATAGTCGTAATAGCCGATGACGTTGTTATTAAGTACCTATTAATAGGCACTTTTACCTGTCGGGACCTTTGATTTTGGTCTATATAACCGGAAGGTATGGTGTTCTAAACGATGTCGTCGTAAACGGTTTTGACTGTAGTTATATATAACTGAAAATATTTTAGTACCTAATCAGTTTTCTTCTCAGTACAATACGAGTAGGTATGTGGGAGAAAAGTGTTATATGGAATGATAAAATCGAAGAAATCCAAAAGATGGAATCAACAATACATGAATATTACGCATCAATGATGTTGATGGTGGTCGAAGGGTATATGATTGATTTAGTACGAGAGGTAGGGTTTATACATCAACATCTCCTAGAAATTCAGTACAGATATAACTAAAAATTTTGAGGATTATAATTACGATTCAGAGTCGAGACTTAGGTGGCATGGCTGCTATGTAAAATAGACTTAAAGATACCTGAGTAAATTTGTGTATCGGTAAAAATTTGTTCCGCACCGATTGAGCGATATCTCAGTCTACCTTTATTTTTTTTGCAATCCAAGATATTTATAATTCTGATGGTGAATATTTTGCAGTTAAATAATAAAAACATTAAGAAAGTATTGTATATCGCTAAAACTTTGAAGACATTAATGCCGAAACTGGTGGTTTCTTGTAAACATTATCCAATCTTTCAATCAAGGTAACAAATAACATTTAACACACTCGTAATTGTGGACATTGTTATTATCTCAACCACCCAGTATACATACACTAAATACGTTTTCACTCTTCGACAGAGAATTTTGAAGCTAAAATAATTTTACCTCAATAAGTGTAAACAATTTCAACATAAATCTGTGTCTATTGAGTGACGTCGCTCCCGATTGACGTAATCATAGGCTTATGACGCTCGGATCTCAGATTTTAATTCCTATAACCTTCGTTTGTCGTTTCTAAAATGATAATTAACGAATATTTTCTTTAGCACAATGGACACTCAACATGCCCAATATTGATATTTATTGATTTTATTATAACATTGACATAAATATACAGTCTGAGTGTAAAATAAGTTACACTTTCAGATTACTCCAATGCGGTACATCACATACAAATCAATACATACACATAGAATAAACCAATCGAACCTTAAACAGTTGATGATAAATAATAATCGTACATAGTTTAATTACTACAACTCTTTAAATTTATGCATACTTGTAGAATATTTGTGGCGTTTTCCCTCTTAATTTTTAATTTATATTACGCTTTCAAACTTGAGCTTGTGGTTTCATTTAATTTTAGGTATCAGTTATCGAATAAATTAACACTAAAATTTATATAATATAACTCTTTTCCACTTATGAAGTGACACCATTGTAAAGAAAAGTATTCCAGCAAATTCGACTCACTAGGATTTTCAAATATAATTATTGAAATTGTAGATATTACCTTCTCAACGGCTATTATAACTTCATTAGACACAAGAAACAGTGTGCCTACAACTCTTTAAAAAAGGCTTTACAAATAGCAAAAAAATATTCCGACAGATTAATGATAATTTGGATTGAACATAATAAACAAGTAAGTGATACTATAATAATATATATTTTATTATAGTAATGTTATAATAAATTACTTTAAATTATAATATAGATTAAGCGTAGATACTCTTCCCCTGTTAGAAAAAAACAATTGCCGCGAACCATCACTATGTGAAACCAGCTGAAATATGTCCGAACCAATTCGACTTATCGACAATTTACCATTTACCAATTTACTTCGATCGTCATAAATAAAACGCTTTGGTTACGAATGAATTGTCCTTTCACAAGGTCGTCATCCTACAATTTACCCATATGAAACGAACCAACTTGAAACTTTATTTCGGACATCTTGTTCCGAATGGTTTTTTTTTCTAAATTCAAATTTGAAGTATGTACAATGCGTACCTACTTATTTTGCTTACATAGTAAATCATAAAGAATTTTAAGGCCCCCGAACTTTCAATTAACCTAATATTAAATCAGGTCAATGATAATGAACTCGTATTGAATTGGAATGGACTTAAATTTTTGAAAATATTACCTATATAAAGTGATTTCTTTTAAAAAATATACTAGCAATAAAAGCCAAATATATTATAAGTTTTCAGTAGGTACTACATTGAAATATAACTAAAGAAATACGGATTTTAGAAAACCCACTGGAAGAAGTTTCCATTCGATACTTTATATCCTAGTGTGTTAATTTTATATTTTATTTTAGAATTGGAAGCGAACCCTCAACCCTAGATTAGAAAATTATTGGTCGGAACACGTGGAATCTGACACCGTACTAAATTACAAGACATACGAAGTCGAGAAAGGCAAGAAAATCATACCATATACGCTCCCTATTCCAAGAATATTTATATGAATTTGATGAGTCATAATGTAATTAATAAACGTTTTATGGTCTTGGAGAATAAAATTTAAAACAAACAGTTGGAAATATAATTTAGCTTTTTCATTATAATTGCTTTCATTTATGCATCTACATTAACATCTGCTTTGCTCTACCTATAAAAATGGTGTATAGGTGTGGTCTGTTTTTATATTATCCAAATTAAAAAATAATAATACCTTAATCAGCCGTTCAATTAACATGCCTAGCCGTTTAATTAACTGGCTGAACATCTTTCAGGCCGTTAGTTAAACGACTAGGCAAATGACTTGGATCGATGATGTTTCATTACTTGCCTAGCCTGTTAATTACAATTTAGTTCCACTTTTTGCCATCTAGCAGCTAGCGTCAAAACTCTTCAAACTGTCTACATAGCGTCTAAAGATAACTTTAATGGTTTTTTCCAAATTTTCATGCCAAAACAAGTACAATGGAAGGAGTGTAGTGACAATAATTATATAAATTTGGGTAACAATTTAGAAATACGTCGCCCGAAATTGATGATACTGATTATGTAGGTGTCTCGTGTGATTGGAACACCTCCAAGTGATTTTTGCTGCCGGAGTTGCGTCTAAGTATTAAAAAATATATATATTTACTACATGTTAACTGTTACATTATTTCAATGTAGAATTTTTTTTATTTCAAAAAATCAGAAATATTTTTTAAGTCATAATATGTTTATCTTTTTTATTTCGGCCAAATAATGTCTCTATCGTACGGATGGCCTAAGCATTAGCCAGCCAGTTTTTTAAATGTAACAAACGCTACGGGTGAATATCTTTCAGGCCGTTAGTTAAACGGCTAGGCATTAGCCGCGTACCCACCTAGCGCACAGGCTCGCGCGGCAGCCTCGCGAGCCAAATGGCTCGCCTGGTGTGGACGTGCCTCCGCCTGCCTCGGGCGCGCGTTTGCTCGACCCCGAGCCATCTGTTGTCGGTAATCGGTGTAAACTTGACGTGCTCAAAGGTGCATAGGTGCCTCAGTGAGCGCTATGCGTTAGGTGGGGACGGTTATGTTTTGGCTCGCGCGCGAAGCTACTTCAAGTTTTGTCTCTTGACTTTTAAATTGTTCAAATTATTTTTATTTAACTTTACATAATCACTTAAGACTTCAATTAGGGATGTGAAAAAATAATCGATTATTAAAAAAATCGATTTTTTTAAAAGTAAAAATCGATTTTTTTACGCAATTTTTATATTTAAAATAATCGATTATTTTTATAATTGCAAATCAATCATAATCGATTTTTTATCTGCCACCTCCCGATATTATGTCTGGTCTTTTATAACCCGGACCTCGAACTATTAGGGATATTCGATACACAATGATGTTTACAATGCAATACATTGAATCCAATTCTTTGAAGATGTATTGATATACTCGATACATTGATGTTTTTTTGTAAAACATCAAAAGGATGATAAAAGCAGTTATTTTTACAAAAACTCAAGTTTGAATGGAACACTATAATTTAAAAGTAAAATAAATTTATTCAGCAGAACAAGACAACATACAATTAAAAAGGCAACAAAAATACTGCAATGTGCTACTGAAAAGGAATACACTCAGCATTTATCAAAATCTATCAAAACGAGATTAAGTTAATTTCGATTTTGATTATTCTTAAACGTTAATTTGTGTTTATAATTTCTATTGTTTATATTTAATTAAAAAAACCATGAAAAATAAAATATTTAGGGTGTTTATTTTGAAATTAATTCAAAAATTAGGAAAAAAATCGATTAATTAAAAAAATCGATTATTTTTTTAAGAAAAATCGATTATTTATTAATCGATTATTCATGCTAAAAAAATAATCGATTTTTTATGCAGAATGTCACATCCCTAACTTCAATAATAGCGCCACAAACTCCTGGAACTATTCTTGAGATACTCTGCTTCGATACTCGAAATAAATATTGCAAGCTGCTATAAGAATCTCCGGTTGCTAAAAATCTTAAAATCTTAAATTATTAAAATTCATTTTTTCATTCATTCATTCACAGTGATTGCTTCTCTATATTTTGTATCGCACTTTTTGATTTTATCAGACAACAATGAGCACAAATTTTCGAACTCTTGTACGGACATTCGTGTAAAATTATGTACAGTCTGATCATATACTAAATCTAGAAAGTAATCTATTTCCATATTGGTGGCGACGCTCATAAATTTTTCTAATCCAGAAGCGTCTAGGTTTTTTCTTGATACGCGACTGTTTTCGTTTCTTTAAGCAATAAGCAGCTAGGAAAATAGCTGCAGCTGAATATACACGACTGTCCATTACGAATACTCGCAGACTTATGATGGCTCAGCCTGCCTCGCGAGTCGCGAGTCAGCCACGTGTAAATTGAACAAAACTACTGAGGCTGCCGCGGGAGCCATCGCTCGCGATCCGGACACCGAGGCTGCCGCGCGAGCCTGTGCACTAGGTGGGAACGCGGCTATTTAAGCTATTAACGGCTATTAAGCGGCTGCCACATATAAAGTAAATCATAAATCCTTTATAAGTTCTCGTTATTTTTTCAAAATTCAAAAATTAAGCAATTATGTAATTTTTCAGTTAATCAATAAAATATATGAGCATATCAGCTAAATGAAAAAGATTATAATTACCTATTGTCTATTTTACATAATTTTAACATCCCAAAATTCAGATCTGTATTATAAATTAGCAATATAAATTCATGGTTAACATATTAATTTTATTTCACTCTATAAAAAAGATTATGAATTTATTTCATTTGATTATTTTTTAATATTAAGAAGAATATAAATATAACTTTCCTATTAAAAACACTATTTCCATAATCGGCACTTTAACAAGAGGTCATTTAGATGTTAAGATGGTCATTTTAGTCCTGACCTCACATTAACATGATAATGTTGGCAGTACCTTTCTTTTTTCAAATGTATCATATGAAATTCTGGTGAGCTACCACAAGTGTGCTTCAATTCTTCTCAATAATACTTAAACACCTTTTAAATTACAATCAAATTATAATATATTGGCTCAAGCCAGGAATGTTACAATTCAAAGCAAATTATTAAGAGCCTATTTACATTGTATAAAACTTTTATGAGAGCAAAAAATCTTTTAAGCACTGTGGGAGGGGCAATGATTTAACTGAGTTTCCTCGGATGAATTGTAGTATTGCATCTCTGCATACATTTTGTAAAGTTTTAACTGCAACAAATGTTTGTTATTAAAGTCAACATTATTTTATAATTGTGTAAAAGCAATTATAATTTTCTTAACTTAACTATGAGATTTAAATTTCTTACAAAATATTCATAAGGCAAAGTGGAACAGTAAGTTATGTAGTTCAAATAGCTTCTAATTGTCAATTTCATAAATGAATTATGTATAAGATATAAATTTTTACCTCCATATAGCTGAATTATCCGAACTTGCTTTGTAGTGCCATACACATCTACAATAGCATGTAAAGGACCTGTTGTGTAAGGGATTGCTTTTGTGCATGGACCTTGTTCTTCACCATTTATTATAAAGTGCATCTCAGCTAAATCAGGGTCATCTTTACTCTTTTTAGGACAAGGCACATACATAATTCCTATACGGCTTCCAGCATCCATGGGTAAGATGCCTTGTGGGGTGCCATTTTTTGATACGGTTTGAGGGCGAAGAGTGTGCTTTGACACATATCCACGAGGTGTGTGCACGTTATGCGAATCTCCCAAAATGGACACCCTAGGTTCATTATCTCGACGCCCACTTGTTCCTTGGTTTATTAATTCAATAAGGACATTATTCTGTGACTTCGATATAGGGAATATCCATGACATACCTGTGTTTGCAAGATCAGGTAAAGCATATTGAGGCAAACCTTTCTCACCCATTGCAGTACTTTGTGGGTCAAGTAAAGTTAAGCCAAGACGCATATGACCACTCCATCCTCGTTCAGTTTTTTCAATTTCCACCAAGAATATTTCCCCTGGTAACAAAGGTCTTTCACTAAATGTTAAACCATGAGCAAAACTAGTCTTTCGATAAGCCACCGTGTTATCCTCGAATAAAACAATATTAGAGCCGTGATAGTGGTGAAACCTCGATAACATGATGGACAACATAAAGTTGGCTTTTGTTTCTACTGGGAACTCCCAGGTAACAATAAACGCGGAGCACACAACCCAAATATGAACAGCAATTTAAATTGCTGTCTCTACAATAAATAATCCAACTCGAGTCTCTTGGATGGGTGTGCTGTTACTGAGTAATTTAGCAAGTATGAGGCAAAAATACGATATAAGAACAATTAATTATCATGCTCTATGTAGATTAAGTGGGTTTTCAATATGGAGCTCTAAAGTTTTCTAAAACTTCGCAACCAAAATAAATTATTGTTTTTTTATGTTGTCATGTCATGTCATAACTCATGTGTGACTGTAGAACAGATCACACAGTCACAGATTTGAGATCAGTTGTTTCAAATTTTGATATTGGAGCGACTGTCACTGTTTTGATTTTCAAGAGATGAAGTCAAAATAACTTGTTTGTTAATTAATCATTTAGCATTACCTAATTAAAATTAAAGGTGTGCCGTGTGCGACTGTATAGTCACATCTGTATTCCGTATACGTCGCATCTCAAAATTTAAAAACGGGTATTGTATAATCTGTAAATATATTCGATCAGTGTCAAATCTTTCTGTCAATGTCTACGTTTGCCCTACGAGGATAATGGCCACTAACCACAGCTGAAAAAATGTTTGTCATCAGTAAATTGATCACGAGACAATATCGTTTGCCTATTCATCACTTTTTCAAGAATCGTACTAGATATAATTCTGTATTAAGTATTAATTTTAAAACTGCACACAATTCAACACAATTTAAAGTGCCTTGGGAATTCACAACTTTTAAAAGGAAATTACATTCAGTGAAAAGGTTTCTGGTGTTTGTTTTATATAGAATATTTGCAGGTTAAGACCGGTATAACAGTTACTTATCAGTAATAATATGGATAACGCGACTCTACATTTATATAAAGATACATAGGTGTCAGGTGACACAAGTGTAGGTATAATTTAAACACAGGGCATAGTTACAAATCAGGGACGTCCTAGAATCTTGATGTTATAAAGGCCAACAACTACATTTGCGTACAAACAAACGAGCAAGTTAGTTAAGTGGCTAATACAAGTAGTATTCGTATTGATAAATACATACTATGATAGTTAAAAATATTGCTTAGGGTAAGCACACTATCCTTAAGATAAACAGTATATTTTAATATACAATATCAAATGAAAAAGTAATTTAAACATAATTCCTGAGTTTGGTGATTTGTTGTATTCCTCACTGATTAATTTTGTCTCAACTAAATGATTTGTTTATGCTCTGTTCATACAATACTGGACTGTGTTGTGTTGATATAAAACTTACTTTCCCTAAACTATTTCATATTGATCTGAACTCCTTTGATACAAATTCTCAGTATAGCCTTGATACTGATCGAGTTATATACGCGTGCAGCATGCTGCCTATTAAGTGGTTTTTTGTTTTAAAATTTTTATTTGTGATTTTTTCTAGAGAATTAGACGCAATGGCTCTGAGTCCACTCGACCCATCATCATATTCAAGACCAGGTATGTATCTTTTTTATTCTTATATATATTTATTAATACTACTATTTAATTAATTCAATATATGAAAATAAATATACTTTTTTAGAATTAGCTGTTGTTAAACATATAGACTTGAAATTAAATGTGGACTTTGAAAAGAAACAACTTACTGGAGAAGCCCTACTAACTGTTAATGTTATAAATTCTATTGAACAACTGGTAAGTAAGCAACAAACTGTATAATAGGATTATTTTAATTTTAGTTAGGTATTATGTATTTTGTAATAATATATATAATCATAGTTCCTTACATTTATTTATAAATAGGGCCATAATTCACAGCATATTGGTTGGCCTACTTTCATTTGACCTAGTCAAGTAGAAAATTCTGGTATTGCAGAATTGATTTATGTAAATAATCATATAAATATAATATGCTTGGTCAAGACAAATACACTTATTACGCAACAAGAAAAAGAAAAGTTAAAATATTATGATGTACTACAACTTGTACCAGTTGTATTAGTGAACAGCGATGATGTGGTGCATATTAATTTAAATAATATCCTGACCTGCCCCTGCGGACAGGCGGAGTACTTTGTTTTCTAAATGTAGTTATACACACAGTATTATTTAAATTTACTTACATTTACGTCACGATTATACAGAAATAAAAAGTAATTTAGAAAATAATTTTTATTTCTTTACTACCAATTTTTTTAATTCTCCTCATTTATTGTTCCTTAGTGAATGTTTTATGTCTAATAACGGGTTAAATGTAGGTTTAATTATTATATTGAAATTCGATTTATTTTCAATTCTCAAATAAAATCTTAAAATAATGAAATAGATATTGCGATAAAAAAATCCTAATCTGACTATATCCATCGTTGCCGAGTTAGCCAGATCTTATCTTCTTCTTCAACCTGTCATTCATATTTTTATCATTGTCAATTTACAGATATTGGACTCAAGTAATCTAACAATTGAATCAATTGAGACTGAGGACGGCAAGTCCTTGAACTTTACATTGGCTGATGCGGTTCCTAATTATGGTTCGAAATTGACGATTCCACTACCGGAACCTGCTACGGCGAACCAAAAGTAAGTTTCCAATTTATGGTGCTATTGGTCTTTTATAAGCCCAATTCCTGATCCAACAAAAAATTTGTTGTTAAATAAAAAAATAAGGTTTATTTTTCGCCAGGGTAATGCTGACGTTTCCCTTATAATATTACTTTATTATCCCACTTTCAAATGTTAGATGTAAAACATTAAAGTAGTTTTGTATCTAAGGTGGCATTGCGTTTCCATAATGGAACTGGCGAGGTTTTAGTTTGGCGACACAAAGGAAAAAATATATTTGTGTTGCGATATGGCCGGCAATTTGCTGTCTCCAATTTTTTTTTACAGTCGTTTTAATTAATTATTTCGTAATATTCAGCAATTATAATAAAAATAATTTCAAAGGAAGCTAAGTATGCAACCTAAAATAAATATTGAAGAAAAGAAACGTGAAGTAAAACAGCTTCCTTCTGAACCAATGATGATGGCATTTAATGGTTTAACTTATCAACCGGTACTAGAAATGTCTCAAAGTACATCCATGGCATCTACCATGTGTGTTAGAGTACTGCAAAGTTCGGACTCCGTCCACTCCGAAGGCAGACTGTGAGAATTTCTGAAATTAAGTTACCAGAAAAGTAGACGAAAGTATTTACATAGTTTCATATTCATATAAAATTGAATTACTGTAGTTACGTATTAAAGCACGACGGGGAAATGAAAGACGAAGCTTTGGTGGTTTCTTGATTACAATTGGTCTTCGCTATTCTAATCCAGGCTCCACAAGATAAACCACTCCTTGTATGGAAATAGTATTAGTTTTTACAACAAACTTCCAAACTAAATTAGAGAATATATCAAATAACACTGAATAAATTCAAAGCTCTCGTTAAACGTAAATTAATTAAAGCTTTTTATAAATTTGACGATTATTTAAATGATCCTAATGCTTGATAAAAGTAGCGGAGAGTTTCTGGCCAGTTCTTCGCCCACGCTCTACGCACTTGACTTGCGAACTGGTAGTAAATATAAATTTAGAATCAATCTAACATCTTTTCTGTTGACGTTCATAAGTGTACTTGGTTACCTATATCAATAAAGTTATTTTGAGTTTGAGTTCACCAACGAACTCGTAACATCCAACATTCAAGCAAAAGTATTTAAGTATCCTAATATCTTTTATTTCACAACTTAAACACAAACTAAATTATTTCTGTTTTAAGTTAAAAAAGTCATATTTATTCTTGCTAGCCAAGATTTAAAATATTTTTGATCTGTAATCATGAATTTCACAGTTTTGAATTATATTAATCGAAATTTCAAATAGCAGTAATTGATAGAATTCAATTCATTCCATATTATAATAATATCATTAATTAACAATTAGTTTTTTAAATATACTAAGTAGTAAGTAATTAAAGTTGAAGTTGGATAGAAAACTAAATTAAAATATTTGATAAGCACTATTATTACACTTACATTTATAAACTATTTCAGCCTTAAAATAAGAATAAAATACAAGACATCACCATCAGCGACCGCCCTACAATGGCTGGAACCGACACAAACCTCGGGCAAGAAATACCCATACATGTTCAGCCAATGTCAGGTATAAATAAAAATATATTGTTGAAGTTATTCTAAATGATTATTATGCTATTTAAGTGTAATTAATTTGATATAGGTTAGGTGGTTAACTGGTGATCCATCCTGGTTTCATTCCAGGCAAAATTATAATTAGATTTTTCTTGAGTGGGAGTAATAATATTAGATTACAATCACATTTAGAATTTTTAATGGCAATACATTATCGAATGTAATATTGACCTGTTCGTTATACTTAGTAGTATTCCACATCTCTTAGATTAACCACCAATATCTAAGTGTATAATAATATGAATGTGACATAAATGGTCATTTTCGTAATTAAAAATAATATGATTCTTAGCCAATCCACGCTCGGTCAATACTCCCTTGTCAAGATTCGCCAGCTGTCAAATTCACGTACAACGCAGAGGTCACTGCCCCCGAACCATTTACGGTGCTCATGAGCGCTATTAAAGGGAATTCGAGTGAAAAGGCGACTTTTAGACAACCTGTCCCTATTCCGTCGTATTTGCTCGCTATTGCCGTGGCGGTGTTGGAGTCTAGGGAGCTTGGACCTAGGTATGTGTCTAGATTTTATTTTTATTATCTTATACGACAATGTCTTAGTAATAGAATGTGCTTAAATAGTGGTATCTTTACCCTTATAAAGAAATATTTACTTTATTACAAAATAGAACTAAAGTTTAGTGTAAAATGTTAAAGGTAACACCGCTTATCATTCACAATTGTATTATTGAGATATATTTTGCACATTTATCATTCGCTTTTATGGTGAAGGAAAATATTGTGAGGAAACCGGCTTGCTTAGACCCAAACAGTCGACGGTGTGTGTCAGGCACAGAAGGCTGATCACCTACTTGCCTATTAGATTGACAAATGATCATGAAACAGAAATCTGAGGCCCAGGCCTAACAAGATTGTAGCGCCACTGATTTGTTTTAAATCTGTAATCTACAGATGTAACTAATGTAAAATTAGAAGCATTAATATGTATTTCTGTACTGACGAGTCAAATCATAAATTATGTTACCTATATGATTAAATAATTTTTTACTTTTACTTTACTTTACAAATTCCAAAATCATTCATTCCTAATTAATACCTAAATCAACATTAATTTGACATCTGTCAGCTGTCAAAAGTCATCAACCTATCCACGACCTCCACAGTTTAGTGTCGCTTTAGAAGAAGTTATTGAACCCAATAGATCTTTTAATATATTTTATGTTTTTAAAACATCAGATCTCACGTTTGGTCCGAAAAAGAAGAGATCGATAGAAGTGCCTGGGAATTCGCGGACACGGAGAAGTACTTACAAGCGGCTGAAAGACTGTGTGGTCCCTACCAATGGACCCAGTACGATTTACTCGTATTACCCCCGTCCTTCCCTTATGGGGGCATGGAGAACCCCTGTTTGACATTTGTGACCCCCACTTTACTCGTAAGTATGAAAAATCTTGATTTTTTACCTTCTCCTTAAGTATCCGTATCACCTCGACGTCCGTCGTTCCACAATTGAGCGCTTTCAAGGCAGTTTTTGTCGCGCACCACCAAGGATTAATATATAATTCTAATACTGACATTTTTAAATCAGAAAGTAGTTACAAATAACTAAAGTCTCACTCTAAATCGTACCGGCCGCGCATACGATCTCGTCAGAGGGATGTAAATACGCAGTATGCGTTCTGTCCCACTCTAACGCATCTGCGCTACGACACCAATCACGCCAGACCGATGTGAGACGCAGTATGCGTTCTGTCCCGCTCTAACGCATTAGCTACACCACAACTTTCACGCAATGTGAGTCATTGAACTACGAAACACTTAACTATAATCAATTATTCGTCGTAAATAAACAATTATATTAGTATAAATAAACATTTATTTTTATTTTACAGTAGAATATTCTAACTAAAATTAATTTAAGCCGTTTCGGTGGTATAGTCGTAAATCTTTGACAATCTATTATTATTATTATTATGCGCCATTAATTTTACCATACTTCTGTGCAAGATTACATTTCGTAAACGTTATTTTTTAAATTATTAACATAGTTGTGTTAATTATAATACGTCTTAACTATAACATTGTTCTGTAAATTAGTAAGAACGTTTTAGCATATTTTATTTGCGAAGTAATACAGTATCGGATTATGTAAAACCTTTAAAAGTTACTTACTTCAGTTACAAATTCAAAATCATTTATTCATATAGGTAACACAATGTACACTTATGACCGTCAAAAAAAGAAAACAAACATACATAGCAACAAAAGCTAACTTCACACATTCGTTCATACAATGAAACGAAGGCTTACAATTTTCCATCATATTTTTTGTAGAATTCGTATTATTCTCACTCACAGTAAACACCTTACTAGGTCAAAGCGTAAAAGTCGGGACGTATTGCTAAGTATTCCTGTATGTCAAAAACGTATATTTGATATACGTCAGTCATTTTTGCGCCATTAAGCCTCAATTCTAACCCTTACTGGAGTTACTATTTTCGTACGATGAAGAATATCGTAAATCTTGTATTTAACCAAAAAAATAGTTCTATCAGGCACAGTTGGCTAATCACTTATCGTCTATTAACGTCATTATTTTTGAAGAGAAACTTCTTTAGGCGCATGAGGGTAAATTTTTAACGGAACGTCACGAACGACACATGCAGCGTTTTTGTCGAAGAAAAGAGAGAGAGCGATTGAGGCCGATTGAGAGAGAGTGAGAAGGGTGAATTACCTTATAGAAATTTTATTTTTAAAATTTCGTAAAGAGAATTTCTGAAATATTAGCATTTTATATTGTATGCAAAATAATTTATTGGAATCTCAAATGAGGAATTGTAAATTAAAATGCCTGGTGTTTTTATTATCGAAGAAATAAGTTTAAAAAAATATATATATTATTTGTATTAATTTTCGGCACTTTTAATATTTTAATGACAATTAAATTCATTAAATTCCTAACACATCTTCCTTTTTCCCTCCCTTTAAGTCTCGGAAATCTAAAGTTTTAGATTTGTATAAATATGAACAAGACTTAAAAATTAGTTTGCCAAAGAAGTTTCACTTCTGACATGTGTACTGTACGCACGCACTTTCTTTTAATGTGTCTAATTGCACCGTTTTAACTAAAGTAATCATTTCTATTCAATACAGTGTGAACACAATTTGACAGAAAGAGACAACAGAAGCCTTATTTATATTGATCGTTATGAATGAAACGACCAGAATTGACACGCCATTATAGTCTTTTGACTTATATTATTTTTTTAGGCGGGTGATAGAAGCCAAGCAGACGTCATTGTCCATGAAATAATGCATAGTTGGACGGGAAATCTGGTGACGAACAGAAACTTTGAACATTTCTGGTTAAATGAAGGTTTTACTGTATTCCTTGAGAGGAAAGTCGGAGCCTCCCTGATAGCGGACAAAGAGGAAGCCCATCGAAGCAGAGACTTTAGCAGCCTTTTAGGCCTCCAAGAGCTTACAGAAACTGTGAGTTTGTTTTTTAATATAAAAATATGTAAAAAGCTATTTTTTTTTTATTAAAGTACTCTACATAATAAATTTTATACAGTATATATTACGAGCTATCTATTCTTGAGAGTTATGGTGAACATAAATTTTACCAATAATAATGTGTCCAAGTTTCCACGTGTAAGTTTATTTACACGTGTAATTAATTATTGCTGGTTTTTATTTGGACTATAACTATAGCTTGAAGTAATTAAAAGTAATAATTTTTTCGTCATGGTTTTGACACATTCTCGAGTTCCGTAAGTGTATACTTATTTGCGAGAAAATTTATTTTAACTGTTGTATATTGTATCTGTTCGCTTAGTTTTGTTCTGTCTGTTCAAAATATCAGGCAAATAGCTGTCTTACTCCCTGTATAATCCCTCCGAAATAGTAGATCCAAAAATCGCAATTACTGGCAATAATAAAAATCTGCGTTGCAGATAAACCAAAATCTCGGTCCAACCAGTCCACTCACGCAACTCGTGCCAGATTTGAATAACACTCACCCTGACGACGCGTTCTCGAGGGTTCCTTACGAGAAGGGGTCTCTATTCCTTCGTTATCTTGAAGATTTAGTCGGTGGACCAGGTGAGATTGAGCTCTACGTTTCAGGTGAAATTGGAGTTGGGCGAGAGTAATCCGTTGACCAGTTTAGTGGTCGATTTGGTCGGGGTACACCCGGATGACGCGTTTTCGACCGTGCCCTATGAGAAAGGCTCGCTGTTTCTTAGGTATCTCGAGGATTTGCTTGGCGGATCAGGTATACTTGCAGCGTGTGGATAATTTTTTTTACTTATAAAAGTAAAAAAGTATCCATATATATATATATATAGCTATAAAGCTAACATACCGCGTATCACCTCGTCGTTCCACAACTGAGCGTTTTTTAAGGCAGTTTTTGCCGCGCATAACTATGTGGAACCAGCTGCCCACTGACGTACTTTCGAACCAATTCGACTTAGGGTCCTTCAAGAAAAAAGCGTACCAATTCTTAAAAGACCTGAAACGGATTTGCGAGCCTTCTGGCAGTGTGAGTGCCCATGGGCGTAACACTTAACATCAGGTGTGCCTCCTGCCCGTTCGCCTCCTTTTACATATAAAAAGAAGGTGGAAGGTGGTAATTTCTTAATTATGCTAGTAACGGGGGACTTTCATTGCCTTGGCCAAACACAACACCCATTGAAAGCTTAAGTGCTAAACTTAAGCTTCAGGATGTGAAAACAGAAAAACTTTATCAAAAACCAAAGTTCTCTCATGCTTACTGAAGTACTTAATGCATCAATCAAAGGAAATTTGAATACTCTACCATACTATCATTTCAAAGTACAAAATTATATATGAAGCGGTAGACCCGGACCGCAGTGTAGGAGTTACAGTTTTTTTTAACAATGCAAAAACTAAGAATACGTATTATAAAAATTCTTTAGTTTCATTTCACCACACAATTGAAGGTGCGCAAACTAATTATAGACTTGACTAATTGTTATAAATTCCACACTACAGAAATATAACTTGATAAATCTCCGTGGACCGTGTTATATGGGGATATTCCGCGTTATTTGAGGGACGGAAATCACGTTATACGAAAACATGTTTAATATAAGTAGAATATTTTTGTTTAGTTCATAAGCCAACATAAATTTGTAAATTAAATTTTCGTTAAAGAATTAATATCTAAAAAATGTTTAATTTCTAATATAAAATAAATATTAATATTTCAGAGGTATTTGATGATTTCCTCCGTTCGTACCTGGACAAATTCCAGCGACAATCCATCGACACGGACCAGTTTAAAGCCTACTTATTGGACTATTTCAAAGACAATGAAGCCATGAAAGGTGTCGACTGGACAACTTGGCTTCACAAATCTGGAATGCCGCCAGTTATTCCCGCGTAAGTAATATTACTTAAAATAATGCTTTAGGTCGCGAAATATAATGTGTCCCTGAAGCTTCGTTTTACGCCCACATAGACATCATTTTGTCTAATGAAAACCTATTGCTAGGGTAAAAATACTTCTCATATTAGGAATTGAAATGAAATGAAATAGTTTATTCTTGCAAGTAGGACTATATAAATCACTTTTACAATGTCATCCTAAACTAGATGAAGTCGACATTTCCTAACTGACTGCCCTGAGAAGAAATGTCGAAACAAACTCGGGGGTCTTAGTCTCTTTTATAGTCCAGATAATACAATAATAAATTAATAAATTGGTGTAAACAAATGCAGAGTATTTACTGGACTGGTCTTTGGAAGAAAAAACCAGATCGAAAAAAATACTGAGAAAACCCGAGCAAGCCTGTGCCAGCAGACGGCAAGCATGCCCCAGCAATTATAGCTTATATCAACATATAATTTTTATTTTTGTCCCTTTCACTGTTAACATATACATATGTTAATTGCTTTGCTTTGTTCCATTAGTTTTGTCTAAATAACTATGTCTTATGTATTTTTTCACTTCTTGCGCTTATCTTTAAATTTTTTTTCTCACAGTGGATGCCTGGAAGATATCGCTCGATAGCAATTAGATCGCCAGTTGCCCGCCTCTTTTTAATAATTCTAATTTTACTGTATTTCTGTATGCAACGAAGTGTTAATAAATAAATATATAAGTGTAATTTTATATAAAAATTTAAAATTTATTTCCAGGTACGACACATCAATGACCAAAGATGTTACAGTACTTCTGGCCAAAGTGAATGATACTAGCAGTACTTTGGAATACAGCAATGTCCTTACATTTACTCCCCAACAGATGATTAATTTCCTGCAAGCTCTCATCGATCAAGACCCACTTCCCCTAGACAGACTAAGAAATATGGGAAAAAAATACAATATTGACACAAGCAAAAATTCTGAAATTGTCTACCGTTGGCTGAGATTATGTATTAGAAGCCGAGATGAAAGCAAATTGAGTGAAGCCCTGCAGTTTGTTAATAACCAAGGCCGCATGAAATATGTCAGACCTATCTACAGAGATTTATATAATTGGGAAGCTGTGCGGGAGAGAGCCATTGAAAATTTCCTCAAAAATGAGGCAAATATGATGCACGTATCAGCTTACACTTTAAGAAAAGATTTGCATCTCAACGAGTAGATTCCATTTTCTACAAGTGTACTGTAAATATTTATGGAATTTGTTTTCTATTATACAAATGTATTGTTTTAAAAAATAAATGAGTATTAATCATATTTTATGTTGCATGCATTATTTATATTCTGAGCAGTTTTTCTACACCACTATGTGGAACCAGCTGCCTGCTGAAGTATTTCTGAACCAACTCGACTTAGGGCTCTTCAAGACCGGCCAATTCTTAAGGGAACGTTCAAGTATTATGTCACGCAAATTTTGGAGATTTTTGATGCCCCGATGTAACGCGCCGTAATGTTTTTCTGTCCCCAAGTATAGTAAAACGTTTCGTGACCACCTAGTGACCCCTTATACCTAAAAGTTACCATTATGTGGTGTAAAGTACTGGAAAGTCGAAAATAATATTAACAATAACGCGTAATTCAATCCCCGCCCCGAAATTCGTTACGTAATACTTGAACGCTCCCAAAAGGCCAACGCACTCGCAAGCCCACTTGCGATGAGTGTCCATGACTATCACTTAGCATCAGGTGAGGGCAGTTTACCGTTTGTTCTATAAAAAAAAATCAAAAGAACTCTATTTCTTTATCATATCATATCTTACTGAAGTAATGGTCTAAACGTTCTATCATTCTTACTCAAAAAAAAAAAATTAAACAGAATTTATTGAATACAAAATGATTTTAGAGTAACAAGTATTGCGCTTAAAAATTCCGGATATAATTTCTCCTATATATGTCCTAAAGTAAGGAAGCCAGTGAACGAACTTAGCTCATATAGGCCGATTAGTCTGCTAACCGTAACGTCAAAACTTTTTGAGTCAGTCCTACAGCACAGATTATTGGAGGAGATTCATCAAAGAGCCATAATCCCGGACCACCAGTTTGGTTTTCGCCAGCAGCATGGCACTGTGGAACAAGTCCATAGAATCTGCTCTGTAATAAGGAAGGCACTAGAGAGAAAGGAGTACTGCTCCTCTGCCTTCCTAGACGTGCAGCAGGCGTTTGATAGAGTATGGCACAAAGGTCTCTTGTATAAAGTAAAAACTCTTCTACCCTGTACATTCTTCCCCATCATTAAATCTTATCTAACAGAAAGAATATTTCAAGTAAGAGAAGAAGATTGTACATCGCCATTTCACTCAATCAGCTGGAGTACCGCAGGGGTCTGTCCTGGGCCCAGTCTTATATACCATTTACACATGTGATTTACCACAAAGTGAACACGTCACATTAGCAACATTCGCAGACGATACTGCTGTACTGGCATGTAGTAATAGCCCAATCGAAGCTTCAGACTTCCTACAGACTGGATTGCAAGAAATTGAAACCTGGCTTTCAAAGTGGAGAATAAAAACTAGTGTGACAAAATCCGTTCATGTAACCTTCACTCTCCGTAGAGGAGACTGTCCGCCAGTAACTCTGTGCAATCAACAACTTCCTCAAGAAAACTGTGTAAAATACTTGGGAATACACCTTGATAGGAGACTCGTATGGAAACAACACATACAGAAGAAGAGAGAAGAAATCAACCTGAAATACAGAGGACTGTACTGGCTTCTTGGCAGAAATTCCAAACTGTCAGTAGATAATAAGCTACTCATCTACGAAATGCTCTTGAAACCAATTTGGACATACGGGATTCAACTATGGGGTTCGGCGTGTGACTCTAACATAAGTATCATACAGAGGGTTCAAAACTACATCTTGAAACAAATATCCAACTGTCCGTGGTTTATAAAAACATCGGAGATTCATGAGCACCTCAAAATCAGGACTGTCAAAGAGGAGATCAAGACCTGGAGTATGAAATACAGAAATAGGCTAGAAATGCATCTGTAGGTGATTGATTAACGTGTCGTAATGAAACAGTGATGTGTTCTGACAAGAACATATCAGAATAGATACGGTCGTGTGTTTGAAAAGAACAGTTTCATCGTGTCGTAGGACCCGGTAATATGTCCTGACAAGGACAGTTGTTAAACGTTTTGTCGTGAAACAAGAATAATATGTCCTGAAAAGGACAGTTGTTAGACGAGATACAATAATTTGTTCTGAAAACAACAGTTATTAGCGTTATCGTAAGGTTACGATACCGAAGTGTTCTAAGAAGAACACGTTCGTACGCTTCGACGGCTGCGTGCAGAAAAAGGCCAACTTTTTGCCGCGCCGCATTTTTATCGCCTACCCTGGTACCAGCGCAACCAACCAACGCTCCGCATCTTGGCACCACATGTCAATATTAGTTGTGTGTAGGATATTTTTTAGGTATAAATGTACACAGTTTTGTAAATAAAAGGATTCATTATTCCATCTTCACCTCTTCTCTACAAACAATTAGGGAGTTTTATTTTAACATCGACCAAATAATTCTGAACGAAACAACCCTGAAGCAAACATCCCTAAACATCCTAATAAGCTTGCGTGGCAAGCTTACTAAAGCTTGCCACGCAACTAACCATACCGGACCTAATAAATAGGCTTAAAAGGCGACAAATCCTAAGTCTTGATAGACACGGTTGAAAGAGAGGAGCAGTCTCGATGGAGATTTTGCTCTGAACGTCTAACAGCTCTCAACACATCTGCTCATAGTCTAGCTGACTGATTGCAAGATAAAGACTTATAAAAAAAATATGTCCGACGTATTGGAAGTTCAAAACCATACTTAAAATTTTTCAGCATAGCGCTAGTTAGTCCAAACAATTCAGTTTATGTTTTGACCAAACTTCGACAACACACCGCAACACTACCGCCCCAAGTAGTTGATCAAAGTTTTTTTTTACAAAGAAACACAAGCGGCAATTTTCCGCTATTCGATTTCGGGAGTACCTATACGAAAACGTTAAAAACATCCCCCTAACATCCTCCCCCTCGAAATAAAAGGCGTGCCGTGGAATTAAATATGAATGAAACGTGGTAAGTCAGTTTCTAAAGAATATTATAAAGTACATTAAAAACAAAGTCTTTAACCCTTTTGATGGGGGCCTCATAGCCTAGCGGTCTTATTAAGTGGCAGCTAGGTGAGGGGTACCGGGTTCGATTCCCGGTTCGAGGGCAAGTTTTAATTTAATTCAAATTTGTTCTCGGCCTTTGGGAGGGTTGTGCGGTACCGGGCGAGTGCTTAAACCGTACATAAAGGGCACTGTCGAATTTCTAAAAGACGAGCACGAATTATAAAAAGTCCTATACTTGACGCTGGCTAATGCACAAATCGTGCCAGAGCCATTAAAAAAAAAAAAAAAAACCCTTTTGAACTGATTAAACACGGAAACAGCCATCATTGGCATTGGCATTTGGCAGCTATCATCAATCCATTTTGAAAATAAAGCTTGTAAATTGTCACTGCCACCGGTAAGAAGTGATGTTGATTGTTGTCATCTGCTCGCGAATTAAAAATAGTAAATAACCTAGAAATATTAAATTTTGCAATAATATATTTTTTTTAATAATAATTTATTTAATATTATAAATAAGATACATAAGTAATAGGGATAATAAACATTAAAAATGTCTGCAGCGAAACGAGTACAGGTTCGTAGTAATCAACAGAAAATGATCTATTTAAATTTCTGAGTTCATTAACTTTTGATTGTGTTTGTTTTAGCAATGGGCTACTTTTGCTCGTACTTGGCATGTTTTTGATTGCAAGTGGCAGGATCCATACCAGTCAGCCAATTTAATTAAAAAGTATTTGATGGGTTTACATAAACCGATTTACCATCCTATGAACGATTGTGGAGATGTTGTTGTTTGTATCAATAGCAGAGATATAGCTTTAAGAGGTGATGAATGGCGGAAACGCGCATATTTCCACCATACGGGCTACCCTGGTGGAGCTTCTTGGACCCTAGCTTGGGAAGTTCATAACAAGGACCCAACTATGGTGAGAGTTTATTAAAATTATCACACTGTTGATTTGTGAGATCTGACAATTTCTTAGTGTCTGTAGAAATAGTATTTATAATAAATTATTAATATTCTTATAGATAATTAAAAAGGCAGTATACAGAGCGATGCAGGGAAACCTTCAGAGACGGCACACAATGCAAAGATTATTTATATACCCAGGAGAAGAGATACCGGATGATGTAAAACAAAATGTAACAAACCAAATCCGACAACTGCGTTTAGTGCCTACTAGATTAGATCATATACCTGAAGAAGAAGTACAAAAATTCCCCAAAGTTATGGAGTACCCAAGCGATTATGTTTTAAAATGAGTAATAATATATTATGTGTCATAGGTTTTAGTTATAAAGTGTAGAAATAAATCTGTTCAAGTGTCAAGTTTTGTATAATTTACACAGAAATAATTATCCATCAAAATACCATGACCTGATAGGAAAGAGATAGTTGAAATTTCATTTCATCGTTTTTTTGTGGGACCCACATAATATAAATAAAATAATAAGTTGCACAATTATAGCTAGTATTTCCCTAATGGCGCGTCTAAACGGGCCATGTTTTGCTGCAATTGATGGCTGCAACACTGTGGCCGGCAACATTGCAAACAATAGCAGCCACACTATGCAATATTGCAGTAATGTCCCGGCCATATAGCCAAACATGTTTTGTATAGCCACATATGGCCGATGTTGCCCCGATGGGTGGCCGGACGATCGCTAGGCTATCGAATTCAACTGCAATATTGCACAGCCAGTTCTCTTGTTGTTTCAGTCACTCTCTTTGTTATGGCATAGTGTATCCTTTTCTACGCGACATGACGTTTGCTTTGAGTGAAGTGTGCGTATTGCTTTATTCTGTGTTTTGCGATCAGCTGTATTTGACGTTAGATTACTACGTAAAATGACTACTTTTGACATTCTAGTTCTTGAATAATTTAATATCAAGACTTATTTCTAGACTCAAATTGTCTACAGTTTCACGCCTATTTAAGTAAGGTCGAATCCACAATCTCTTCTTTTTCTGTTTCTTTTTTAAAACAATATAAGCTGCTGCGACATGTGTGATTTCGTCAGCCATTGTTGCCGGTTTGTGTAGCCCGTTTAGGAGTCTGCATCATGGGCCATACTATTGCAACATATTGCCCAGCCATAGATTGTTCGGCCATCAGCTGCATTAAAATATTTTTGTAATGGCCGGGCAATTAGTGGCCTATTTTTTTCCTACTAATATTAATATTTAATATGTACCTTGAAATTTTGCCATATTTTAATCAAACTCAATTGGTTTCAGGGCAGAAATGTATGGTTATATCTCACTATTCACTATAGATACTGTTTGTTCTCTATTTTTATATTTATAAGTACAATACCTACTTTTCAAGTAAATTAGTTTATACTATTTAATATAGAAATTTAATTATAAATGTTATTTAGTGAAACTATACTAGAATAGCCATTTTCATAGGATGATCTAATATAGGTGATGATAATATCAATATAGATTTGTTTAGTTATTATGTTCAACTACAATATTATTTCAAAAGTACATATATATATAATATATATTTATATAAGTTTATTAAAAAGTTAATGGAAATTACAAAAGAAGTCTTAACGTAAATTTGGGTCATCGTAGTTAAGTCTTATTATTTCCGGTGCCTCATCGTCAGCTAGTTCGCGAGCCATGTCATCATCAAAATAGACTCTCAATGAGTCAAGTTCAGATGGCGCTATACCCATTATTCCGCGAAAATCATCCAAATTAACTATTTGAATTTCATCAAAACCTGATTTTTCGTCGACATCGTTATCAAATGGGTCAGCAATTTGAATCGCATCCTGGTCATTCTCATTTAATGGCATCAAATTTGCTACATCAGGTAGTTCATGTTCAAGAAAGTCTGCATTCACCTCTGGTCCGTTAAGTGGTTCAATTTCTGGTACATTTTGTGTTTCTTCACTAGGCTTAGCATTAGCCCTTTCGTATTCGCTAAGAATATCTGCAACTTCTATAATTTTAGGCAAATATGCCGCAGATTCCACATCAGAGGATTCAATTGAATCATTTTCAGGAATTACTTCTAACTCTTGAATATTATGATTCTCCTTAGTCAATGGTACAGCCCACGCTACTGTGAGACAAGCAAGCACTACGAATAGCTTCATATCTGAAAATACTTATTAATTTTAAAATAAAGAAACTTTAAATTAGTTTAATGTTTATAAAAAATTCGATATGAAAACAAAGGCAATTATATCGATTGTTATAAACACAACCACTCACCTGATACTCCTATTGATTACAAGCGATAATGATAGCAATAGAGACAATCAAAGCAATCTTTGAATAGGGTTAGATAAGAGTTTATCAGAATTGTTTGTCGTTTGTCTACGTTTTACCTAAATACCTAATTTACGAATAATGAATAACATTACATAAAATGTTTTTTTACATTCTTTCCCAGAAATAATTTTTCAAAAAGATTATCTTGAAGATATCTTATGCACTAATTTGTGTTTGTTGTGGTTTTTCTCTTTCGACCTTGACCACGCCTTCGTGAGTATTCTCCCGTCTCACGGTATCGCTTCCAAAGTCTGTAGATAACAGAAGGGGCTACTCCTAGATCATTTCCTACATAACGCATAGTTCGACCCTCTTCAAGCAAAGCGATAGCTCGGGAGACATGCAATTCAGTCAGGTCTGGCATTATGACCTAAACTCACTCGCTTCAATGAATAACAATACTCAAAAGGCTCACTTCAATTTCTATTAATACTCAAAAGGTTGAAAAAAACTACTTAAAATGTGTTTTCTGTGATTAGAAAGTAATGAAAATTCAAAGACGTCAGTTTGTTTTTCGTCTACAATGCACATTTTAATTTTTTTTTAATAAAAAAAATACAAATTGATTTTTTTTATTAATTGTAGTAATTAACAAATTAACAAGGTAAAAAATAGCGTACAAGTTAATTTTAGTTTAAGCAATAGAAAGGAGAAAAATCTTGTTCCGCTAATTGTTTTGAGCAGTATATATTGCTACAATATGTATTGTTTTGTTAGTCTCATAAAGCGCCAATGTAAATTTCTGCGTGTTTTATTAAAGCTCATACAACCTAGGACCGAGCCCACAAGCGCGATACCAAAACAGCAACTAAGTACCTACTAGAATTTAACAGCGCTTTAATTTTGGGAAACTATCAAAATCCTTTTAATCTTTAAAAATATCAATGTTGCAACTACTTGAAGGTTTAATAGTATAAACGATGACCGATAGTGATAGTGAAAAGATGACCTCCTTCAGTCTACGAGATAATCTATATTAAATCTTACGACACAACAAACATATCCATAAATTTAGGATATTTATATTTTTGATTATTGAAATATATATATAGTATTGTCTTTGATTAACATAACTTTTATTCATTTAATAAAACACTATTTTGACCGGATTGAAGTTATGTATTATTATAAATTTACAACTATTTAACATAATTTTAAATTTATCCGACGTTTCGCGTGCTTTACAGCGTGCGTGGTCCACCGTGACCACGTAATAATGTAAATTTATAATAATACATAACTTCAATCCGGTCAAAATAGTGTTTTATTAAATATATATATATATATATATTTGACTCAAAGGAATAGGTATAAATAAAACTAAGAATCTTAAGGGTTTAAGTAAATAATATAATTGGAAAGTACAATTTATAATTTTAAACGAACAATATTTTCATCCTTACATACCAAATTACCGCTAAATATATTTGGCAATACAAAAATAATAGACGACATTTATTCAAACTAACTTTCGTCTAGTACTGTTTAAACGTGGTTGTGATTAAAATGTATGAACGAAATGTTGAGAGCCAAGTTCACGGAAGCTTTAACAGCGGTTAACGTATTAAACGCAATGTTAACATTTAGTCAAAAATACTAAGAACAAAATATAATCACCTCAAGCTTATTATCTTTATCTTAGCTTTGCTTAGAACACTTAAAAATCGCAACCACGCCTTCACTTACCAAACAAATGACAAGTTTCTTGTAGCACTTCACTAATACATTGAGAACAAATTTTGCTCCATATGACTTAAACTAAATTGGAATACATTTACTAGTAAAATATTTATTTAAAATAACAATTATAAAAATATAGAGAAATGTACATTTGACCAGAAATGAGATTTTCACTGTTATAAAATAATTATGAAACAAAATACTAGTTAAATGTAGCAGTCAATCTTATTTCCGATCAAATTGTAACTAAATCTTTTTCAAGCAAACGAAAGCTTATGTGATTTATTAAAATGTGCCTCTTAGATATAGGACAGCTTAGCTGTAAGATGCCATACGGTATTCTTACATTTTGGAAGTTCAACTTATGCGCAAAGGCCGTAAATAAAAATAAAAAATGTTTTGAAAATCCTAATCCAAGTACGCCAAAACATCATCTCGCCGTGCCCTTAGACCAACTATATTATGATTTAGCTAGCATTATATTATTTAATGTTTTTTATAATGCCGAATCTATGTACATTTGAATAACAAAATATCGGAAATATTATATAATTCGCCATTATAATCTCAATAAATTGATTCTACCTATATTATATTATAAAAAAGAGTCGTTTAAAAAGAAATTTAATCTTAGACAGTCTAATAAGTATTCAATGACATAATTTGGATGAAGTCTTGAAGCCTAATAACGGTCTGAACGTTAACACGTTAAGAGCCTCAATTTATTTTTTCACAAAATCTTCTAACAATTAACTATTTTAAGACATATGTTTTAGACGAATTATTATCTTAATTTAGTGAGGGCAACATTTAATTTACTAAACAGATTTTTTTACCTGCTTAATATACACATAATAACATATTCTAATGTGTCATATTGTGAATTTCGAAAATTTAATTTTTGGACTTTTCACGATAGAGATCATTTATAGGTACATCTTATTTTTACAGGACATATAGGTACTTATATTACAAAACATAGCGCCAAGATATATGTTCGTTGACTTTTAACGGCCCATTACTTAAACTATTGATTCAAGATAAACAATGGGTTCAAAGAAAACGCTCAACATTAAAAAGTTAAAAAAAACTTGTAATATGAACATTTTAAAATATATTTAATTTTATTATTAGCCGAAAGAATTCCTTGGATTCCTAAATTTCTATGAAACAGCAGCATTATTATAATGATTTGGTATTTGTTATGCTCATACCCACCTTAAATCTTTAACTACACCATTAAACCTTTTTTGAACCAAAATATTTAACGAATAAACCAACGATAACGTTTCTCGAGAAAAGAGCAATCTCAATATGGGCAATCCAATAATTACCTGTAAAATTAATTTCATCGCGCATTTCAACGTTAAATACATTTCTACACTTTCGATATATAATGGACACAAAATTATCTCTCGTTTGCATAGCCTTATTTTAACAACGACACACGAATTTAGCTTAGTCTTAGTTTCGTGAAATGGAACCAAAATTTTCGACCAATCAGAGCTCGTAGATACAAAGCAGCGCTCTGATTGGCCCACGCTTTGCTCTACAATTTCTTTGATGTATTATATTTTAGTTCGAGCTTTTTACTTAGATTTTTTAAGCTAATGGCCACATAAGGACATTTCTTATGAAACAAGAATTTCGTAAATGTACGTTATTCTATAAAAATTAAATCATTGTTATTAATATTTTTACTAAAGTACTTATTCGTTCTGTTGAAATGTTTGAACTGTTATGAAGAGATAAATTAGTGCTTTAGCTAAAACAGTTGTTTATTTTTGATAAAACTGTAAAATTTAAAGGGAAAGTAAAAATATGAATGTGAATATAATATTCGTGTGTCATTATTAATATTTGTATACTCTTGAAATGCCGCGACTCCGGGCATTAGGCCTCTCTCATTTAATCGCACGAGCCTCTGGGAGGAATCCATCCCAGTACCTGATCGACTGAAATAAATTAAATCTTTGTATTTTTTTTCTACTTTTAGGTGGAACATATAAATATATGGCAAGTCTTTATTTACCTGTGCCTGATGCTTCATATGTTCCTCGAGGTATCTCAAAATGGTGGTCCTCAACTCCGCCACTCTTATCTCCTCCCATCTCTCCAACTCTTTCTTGATCACGCGAGAGATTGTATCAAACTCTGTGTGACAACGCTCCACTTTTGATTCCCACTGAAAAAAAAATAGTTTAAAAAAATATCAATTTTTTTTATTACTTATGAGTTTAAATAAATAATTAAAAATGAAATAAGTTCATCCTTAATAATAATTTGACTTAGCGTCACTTATGATAACCTCGTATGTCAAAAAAACATTTATTTTTTATTCTTAGCCTCTTATCTCATTTAACTGGTATAATCATGAAATATAGACTTATTTATGTTATTAATAATAATAATGAAGTGCTTTTTACCATCCAAAAATATGGACAAAAACACATAATAATATTTTAACGAACATTGACGAAATGAAACATTTTTTTCGTTTCTTGTAATGGTTGGTTCTCTGGACATACGAGGTTATCTTTCTACATCGACGTTATGTCATACATACTATAATGAAATCCATACCTCAATAATCTCATTGGAAGCCAGTTCGATCTTCTCCGGTCGATTTGCGATTTCCGCTTTCGCTTTATTTTCTCTCCTTTTGTTTAGTTGCATTTCAGCGTGTTGCCAGTTTTGAAATACCTGAAAAAATTAACCAAATAAAAATACAAGTTATTTAACCATTTCGCAACTACTAACCTAGCTACTAATATAGCTGCTACAAGACAGCTGACAAAAAGGCTTGTATCCATGGTCATGTAATAAAACAAGAAAAAAAATTATTAGGTTCCATAGATTCTTGGCATACGCTTAACAAATGTCAGCGTGATGGTCGAAAGACTATGAGCCTGCGCCATGGGCGAAAAAAAAATGTCACATAGTACATTTGTGGTATTACGTGACATTTAAAAAGTCACGAGGCATTTATCGGTTAAAAGGAATTTGACATACATTATACATTTTTTATTTCTTTCACTAATTAAAATATGCCTATTGTGTAAATGTGTACTCCATTATTAGGAATTTCTTAGTATAATTGTTGTTTAATGTAAAAAAATTGTTGAAATACAATAGTAATATTTTAAGAAATTTGGAAAAATTCAGTCTATGGTTATCAGTTCACCTTTAAGGGTTGTAAATGGAACTACAAAGGCGTATTACCTTAACCCTTTCGTGGAAAACATCTTTGATTGAAGCAATGAGACCCAAATAGTCCTTGATATGTTCAGTCAACACGTAGAAGTCAGTGTTCGATTGCTCCACTCTTAAATGCTCTATCTGCAAATTAAATATAAAATGTTGAACAAAGATTTGGGAGCTCAGCTCAGGCATATAAAATTGTGTGGTGCGTATCTGTGTATATATTAGTTTGTGTGTAAATTATAAGATTATAAATTTCATACTGCATAGAATTTAAATCTGAAATTACATAACTTTTGTCTCAAATATTATACGTCATTATAAGTCATACAGCGTAGAACGGAAGAGAAGAACTGGCAATAAACTCTCCGCCACTCTTTTTAACCGCCATTTTTTATAACACAGCGTTTGTAAGGAGCTGCAACCACTACACCATGTTCCACATGACAACTTAAGTAATAAATAATAATAAAATAAGTTTAAAACAAAGATTTGTCTTCTATCAGCAGGAGGGATGGTAAAATAGGAGCACGCACTTACCTTATCGTATAGATCGGATAAATGTGACAAGGCCCTAGAGAGGGGCGCGTGTGGGTCCGCGGCCGATGCGGCTGCGATACATCGGGCTGCCTCGTGCGACCTCACGGACAGCTCGCGACGTTCGCTGGCCAACGCCTCGCACGCACCGCACAGTCTACGCAACCCCGCTTCCAGTGATTCTACGCGTGCAATGCGCTCTTCGAACCACTGAATATATAAATAATTAATTCAGATGTGCTATTTGTTGAGTAATTTGAAGACTTGATGTACTATAATTTTAAGTATTGTTATGCCTGCATCGTGTCACCAGGCTTTAATATGGATTTCAATATCTCTTCAAATTCTCTAGTAATGTGCTAACAAACCCAAAACGAAACAAAATAAAACTATTTTACCGGAGATGGAATCTCCGAGTTATACCCTCTATGCGATACGCAAATTTTCTGTTGCTGATGTTAATTCACATTAATTTTGTCTGATAATTGTATCTAATCGATCTCTTTGAAACTTCGATTCCTCTATAGTGAGAAGCCTCTTAGAAATGACTTGAAAATATTTTATTTCGGTCAAAATAAGCTAATTTCCTAATACTAATAAATATTCTTCCTATACTTATAAAGCACATTTGCTATAATAACTCACAGGATCAGATTCATCCATGCGATACGTGATTTTATTAACTGTTTCTCCGACTTTGTTCAGGAGCCGCATCATACCAGCTCCACTTAAGGCAGATGTACTTGTTGCTTTAGGTAATTCCGTGTCTAAAAATTATAAAACAACTTAAAACTAGACAAAAATATGTGTCTTTATGACGGATAAATCTACAATTAAAATTAGAATTACACGATATAACGAAAATAAGCGATTTTTTGCAGATAAACAAAATAAAAGAACTTTTTCATAAAAGATTTTAAATATGTTAAAATAGTTTGTGACGCTTTATATATCATTGGTCTATATATAGTATATAAGTTATAATTTTGTTCGACCAGAACGGTGGACAGAAAAACTGTGTCCAGTTTATGCTACCACCACCACTCTATTGTAAACTTCTTTATTTCTGATTATGTATACAATAAATAAATAAATAATAATTTTAAATTTCTATGTAAGTGTGAAATGTGATAATATAGCAAACATTTGTGAAAAGTATGTTGCATAAGACAAACTTAGTTTAAATAATCGAGGCCTCGCGTGTTACGTTACGTGAATAGAAAACTATAATTATATTAAAATTATCCTCTGTACAAATCAAAATGAAGGTAAAATCTTGCTATTAAATAAAATGTAAATGACAAATTCATCTTAAATATTCTTTAAATAATTTCTAGACCAGACATCATTCTCAAGGACTTCTCAAGGACTACCAGCATCACCCTCGTTAGAAAGAACTTCAATAAGGCATGTTTAGTGCATGACCTCAAATACCTTGTTCTTGAAAAGCAATTATATAAACAATATAATAATCATATTCTCATAATTTAAACATATTTACTGATTTATTTTACATAAGATTAATTAGTGTTTTGGTAAAATAAAGGAATTTGAAAGCACCTACAAATACTATACACCAAACTTTTCAAAAGCTTAACCTATTATTATGATAGACAGCTATAAATAATAATTTAAAATAAGGTAAATATTTTGATAAAATCATTATGAACATACCAGATTCCAAAAACTCCCTAAAATCAGGATCTATGCATAACACAGGATGTTGAGCTAATCTGTTCAAGAATCGCTCAAGTGCCGCACGACGACGCTCAACAAATTGTGTATGAACATTTGACCCAGAATTACCATTGATGCTCTCAGTTGACGACGTTGATGACATTTTTAGTTTTGTTGTACCTAGAATTAACAGAATTTTTGTTATTGATAAGCTACCATTAGTTACATATATACAAAATGTAAACAATCGTCGCACCAACACCAATTCTTAAAAAGCTGACAGCAAGCTTGCAAGCTTTCCGGCAGTGCGAGTGTCCACGAGTATCGCTTAACATCAGATGAGTCTTTTAATAAAACACTATTTTGACCGGATTGAAGTTATGTATTATTATAAATTTACAACTATAAACTATTTAACATAATTTTAAATTTATCCGACGTTTCGCGTGCTTTACAGCGTGCGTGGTCACGGTGACACGGTGATCAAAATAGTGTTTTATTAAATGAATAAAAGTTATGTTAATCAAAGACAATACTATCAGATGAGTCTCCTACCCGTTTGGCCCCCAGTTATAATATTTTTTTTTGTATGTGCTGAGACTAAAAAACAATTACTACTATATAAAATGTTTTATATCTTACCAACAATACTTTTTTCAGGAGCAGGGGGTATTATTCTACCAGAACGTAAATATTTTTCAGAAAGCTTTTCATGCAGACCCAGAAAGTCACTGAAACGGCGCAACACTCCAAATTCATGTTTGTTAAAAATGGGCATATTGGTCTTAGTGAGAATTCGATATGCCACATATGAACTCATTCCTTCCCCAATTTTCTGAGGTTCAGTTATAGTCACTATTATGTTGTTAGCACGTTCAGTAACAATCTGAAATTATATTAATATTAATAATAAGACCATATAATTGATACTACAATAAAACCATATGAATGTTGAATTATGTTTACCTCCTCCATAATGGGGCTAGCAATTGAAGCTGTTGTTACTGAAGCATCCACAATGCTAATCTTTTCTAGACTATCCCTTACTCCATTTACTTCAGGATCCAAACTTACTTCCTGAAAAATTTGAAATGCAGTTTTTTTAAATTAGTAATTTCAAATACTTGAAGCAGAATTATATTTTATTTTAAAATATGGGGTCTCACAACTTAGATGTGGAACATAAGAAATAATTCTTAATTCAATAAAGCTATAGATAGCTTAAGTCAAGACTTAATTATTATATTACTGTATAGCAACAGTCACGTAAAATACTTTTTATTCAATACAAAGATGCGCAGTTATCATTAATTTAATTAACAGATAATTAACGTGTTCATTGAATCATCGGTAAAAGAATCAAGGGCGTAAAGTGCATGTAAAAATCATATAAAGGGGCGTTAACACCGATTGATAGGCCGGCGGACGCTGGAAATGATTGAATACATATTCTTATTAGATACCTGGACCGCTGAAGCAAAAAGATCTTCGTCATCCCTGTTTTCATTGTTGATATCGACGGTACTAAACGGTGCCACCGAGTCCTCCGACATTATGGAATATTGATTAAAAATTAAATCACAGGAGTGAAAGCGCTAGAGCACGTACTAATCAAGTCCGAAAACAACGTTTAACGAGTTATCAGCACAAATAGAAATACAATTGATGAGAGCTACTTTAGAGCAACGGCCGACGTTACTCATAAAAATGACGCTGTGACCGGTGACGTTTGGCGTGTAATGTCATGTTTGACAATAGTTAAAACTCAATACCATTACAATCCCGTATAGTATTCGCTTTGCGATTATTTTTATTATTTAGCTAGTAAACTGAGTGACAAAAATCTAAACACGCAAGTGTAACACGCAAAATGAGTTTTAGGAATCTAGAAGAACCTGAGTAAGATTTTTATGCTAGTTATTTCTAAATACCGGTTCAAGGCCACGTCATCATATTTGTCAGTTGTGAGTTTTTACATAATGACAACTGACATGACAGTTTGAAATTGCCTGTTTGAAGGTTTTTTTTATCAATTTGCCAACAAATAATTTCAAAACAAACATTTTTAAATAAAATACTATTTAAGTTTATTATTGTAGTTATTAGATTTCCATTTATTTTACATACATAGAGTACATTTTAAGGAATAAAAATGAATATTTCGGAGAAAAAGGGAAAAATTCCACCAGCCCCAACCCTAGCTGCTACAGGCAATCTGTTATCAAGTGTAGCACCACCATCAGAATTACCCAACTTTATAACAACAAGCGTAAGCCCACCAACTCAAAACGAAGTAAGAGGCTGTTGTTTTGGTATCAATTATCGTTATTATAATCAAGGTAATATGAGCATTATGTAAATTCATTTTCAGGCTCAAAATCCTGTTCCTAGTCAGATTAAAAAACAAGAGGTACCATCAAATGCAATAGAAATGTCACCACCATCTCCAGAACGTTTTAGGTGAATATAATATTCTATTTTTTTTGTCTTAATAAATTCATACAAGTTTAACACTAGGTGTATAATATGTAATTAACTGGAGGTTGTTATGCAGTATAAAAAGTAAAATTAATTTAGGTATAGTCCACATCTATTAATTTGTTTTTTATACTTTTAGTCCAGCAATTCCATTATCAAAAGGGGAGCCTACAGTGTCAATCCGATCTCCAGTTGAGTCAGAAACTACACAATCACCAGAATCTCTGCCAGAATCTGTACCTGATTTGGATACAATTGGTAAATATTTTTATATCTGTAAATATAGTTCTCAAAATTCACTCATTGGTGTTTATTAAAACTAGCTGTTTTTTATTTTTTATTTGAGGCATTTGACTTACTGATTTAAAGGCCAATGTCCCCCAGGTAGGGCAGAGGGCATCCAGCATAGAAAACTAGCCTGACTGGTTCTGGGCAGCTCTCTGAATTTCGACTCACGTCATTCCATTCTTTCTTTGCCGCTGCAATGTTGCTTGGTTGCCAGGTCTGTTTTATGCGCGCTGTTTCCTTTTACCTTGACGATCCCAGTCAAGGGCTTTCTTGGCAATGTCTTGGATACCTCCGGACTTTATGGCCCACCCACTTCCACTTTTGGCGTTTATTGACCTTTGAGGATTTGACGAAGGCAGCGGTTCACGAAGACCTGGGGTTGTGTTGTGTTCTTTGTAACTTTCCACGTTTCACAACCATTCAATAGATAGAACAAGTCCCCATGACTTGTTCTATTCTTTATGGGGGATGGGGGATACGTGGGGATGTGCCGGTGGCTCCGCATCGCATCTCCCTTGTCTTTCGCGAGTTAAGTTAATGCCTCCTGACATCGATTCTCCAATTTCGTCTGTATATCAGCGCGTCTATGACTCAACAAGCAGATCTCATCCGCGTAGTCTTCCAAAACATCGGCCAAACACCACTCAATGCCGCGAAGTGATGTTGTGCATTGAGCATGACTATCCAGGACGACAAGGAACGAAAGCGGTGGCAAAATGCATCCTTGCCTTACGCCAGAACTCACGAAAAATCTTCTGGTACAAGACGTAAGATGCAAGAGCAGTTATCAAGGATATCATTTTCTCAAGAACGCCAATTTGATGCAGTCGCATCCAGATATCTTCCCATTTTAATGTAAAGACTTTTTATAGTCGACAAAAGTGAAATATATTTCCCTTTGACATTCTGATAACTTCGAGGCTAAATGCCTCAATAAAATAAATTTTAACTTAAAGTCTTAGATAAAACTTAGTTTACATTTACTACAAATCATATAAAAATGACTTATTCCCAATTAATTTACCAGGTGACATAATGCCAGGAAGTGGATTGATAACATGGGTGAAAGGAGCCATGTCTAGTGGTGGAATTTTACAGAAAGTTGCAGAAAAAGCCAAGAACTCAGTTGACTCTATGATCACTACTTTGGACCCACAAATGAAAGAATATTTGCGTGAGTAAAACACATTCTAACGCGTCACAAATATATAGGTCCTGAATAGGGAATGTTTGGGGTCCATATGCTTTTTGTATGCAACAGGAGGCAAACAAAAGGTGGGTCACTTTGAATAAGGTGCTAAGTGCTGCCCATAGTCATACAACTGCAACACTGGACTTGCTTGCTTGCAGATTTCTGTATTTTTTTCGTCATCGTTTAGAATTGAAGGTGCGTGTGCTTGACACACGTCTAGTTTCTCGCCCATTCAATTATAAGTAGCAGAGAATTATATTATTTTTTTTTCAGGTAGTGGAGGTGACATGTACATAGTGGTAGCGTCAGACAAAGAAGTTAAAATATCACCAGTAAGAGAAGCATTCCAAACTGTCTTTGGGAAGGCCACAGTTGTGTAAGTTTTTTTTAAAAGCCGTGTTACTCAGAGATGCTGTGACCAATGTAACATTTTAATGCAGAACAGTTTGAAATCGGTCAAGTAGTTATTGCGTTTATTTGTTGAGCGTTTCTGATGTTGGAAATATCATATAGGAAAATTGATTTTGACACTAGAATTTTCATATGGAATATAAAATACAGTTTCACAATTTGCTAGCCGAAACTTACAAGTAAATATTAAAATTTTCAGTGGTGAACCCTCGCAAAGTGACGTCACAGCGGCTCAGCCCGTGAGCTACGCATCTGCGTACGCGTCGGCGAAACAACGAATCGCGCATTTGAGATCCGTGAACGCGCTAATTAATAATAATATTCCCATCGTCGCCATTGAGAGCTTTATTGTGGAAGTAATGCCTGATCGGTAAGTTTTTACATGGACTTTTTAATTATTATAAATTGTTCCGCGAATTTTGGAATTGTCGCGTAGACACAGTGGAATGCGGGTTAGATATGGAAACACCACTTACCATTAGTGCTCCTTATCTTCACTTGTCTTTTGGAGGAGACCACTAATAAAAGCGTAAGCACAAGGTATAAGCAATACAAAGCGTGACCTCGCGTTGGCGGCTGCATCTTCTCTACAGCGCGAGAGCATGTACACCCCCTGCACATGAGTATGGCAAGAGATATGGGAAGTGTTTAAGAATTGTTCGCGGTAAATACAGAAAATGCTACATAATCATTTGTAATACATGCTACTAATCGAGCATATACCGTAGCTGTGAAAAATTACGTATTTAAATCCAGTTAAACTGTATTTTTGTAGATGGTACGACATTGCCTTGCTCGTCCTCTCACAGCCGTCTCTCGGCATAGAATTACAAGTGCAGTCCCAAGGAACGCCAGTCCCAAGCCCCGCAGTGTTAGCCGCGAGAGAAGCCACGCCCAAAGACTATGTTCACGCACAAACTGGGTATAACACGACTGTTGGATCAATTATGGCAACGAATTTACAGGTAATCTATTGTTTATGGTCTCAGAATTTCCTCACTTTATTGCCAAGTATTTCAATACCTGGTATTTAGATACGGCAAATAAAATTAAATCACTACGTTTCGTTCATGTCCGTTTTATTTTCAATAAATCATGAATATATATTTACGACCAAACCTCTCCTTGTGTGTATGTATGTTTTCGTGTATCCTAATCAATGTTGTTGGTTTGTTTTTGAGTGGGTAATTTGTCAACTGCCGGTGACAATTCAAATAATAAGGAAATTATTGAAATGTTGACAGGTTCCACATACACATTGGCAAGAAGCCTCAACTGGTGTTTCAAGGCGGGAGTTATTATTGCTCGCATCGCGATCTCTTGCTGGTTCATTCAAGAAAATATTAGCAGTGTCTGCGGCTGAAACTTGAGGCACAATATGGTTAGTATTAATATATATTGAAATATAAGTTTGTACATCTCATATATTTATGAAGAATGAAACTCCAATGTGTTGCTGAAATAATTATAGATTTATTCTAACCTTCGTTTTTAAACAAATTAATTAACTTAGAACTAAATATAATATGTGAAGGCAACATTTAGAGTTTGATATTTCATAAAAGGTTTTTGAAGCAATAATTTGAATGTAATTCATAATTAAAATTCGCAAATGTTCTAAAAAAAAATACAAAAAATATTGTAAAATTTCAAGTGAAGAGCCGAAACTCACGTCTTTTCCCACAGACTAACAAACTCTCAATATTACAATGATATAAAATGCCAGTTTTACACATGACAGATAATTAACAATCTGAAATAAATGTCATTATTTCTTTTTCAATATAACAAAACAAATTCAAATTCAAAATGACAAATTCTTTGTTTAAAGTATTTTTTTTAAATATTTATATTAAAAAATATTTAATTAAAATATATAATATTATAAGTAATTTATAATATTCAATTCGACCTATTTGTATATTTAAAGTATTGTGTTTCTTTGATCATTTTTATTTATAGGCAAGTAGCCGTTGTGTCTGAACTCGAGTCGATTCTTAGCTATTTTTTCTCACGATGTTTATGAGTTATCACTGTATGAATAGTTGGGTTCGAATACACGACATGAGGGTTGTGAATCGCACCTAGCCGCTCGGTTGCTTACTAAAAATATATTTAATAATGATTAAGAAAACGTTACAACTTACATTGACAAATATAATATTTATTGCAAGTAATACATACTTGTATTTATTAAACATATTATTTTTTACAGATTACGTTCCTTGAAGATGAATATGGTATTTAAGATATTGACTTTTTAAAGATTATAAATATATTTGAGCACAAAACGTCTTTTATTATTTGATTTAAGATTTAAAAAATATTTTTGCACAATATTCATAACACGAAATACACAAAAGACATTAAAAGAAAAACAAATAACATAAATTATAATGGATTCAAAGGGCGGCCTTAAAGCTAAAAAGCGATCTCTTCGAGGCAACCCTAGTAAGGGAAACACCTAGAAAAAGAAATATGACGAGTAAAGTGCACCAACCAAATCTTAAAAACCTTATCTCACGGATTCATGAATTGCGATGCAATACAAAAGAATAAGAAATACAAGAATTACAAAAGTCACGATAGGTTAGGATATGGTTAAGAAACTGGGTTGAAGATGTTAGGGTGGTAGCCAATCGTATGGTGTCGGAGTCGGAGTTTATAATGAACATACACTATGTAGGCAGTCACGCTAACGTCACGTATGTGACTATTTATTGTCACTCTTAATTCACTCATAAATGTTATCAGCGTCCCTTAATCCTTGAATCCGAAATAAGTATGAAATTTATTAGCTGCGATGTCTTATCGTGCAAATTTACGATTATTTCTTAGAGGTCGAATTTTACAGTATGTAACGGAAATCTATTAGGAGACTCACAGTACTAACCTTAATCTTATTAAATGAGTTCTTGATTCAAAAATCTGCGCTTATTATAGATAGCTTACTGTATTTTCTTACATATAGATTTATATAGGGTGTCTCAGTAAGAGTGCACTTTTTCATTTTTAAATAAAGACAAGTATTTTATGACAGAGTTCTGATATTTTTATTGTAGTGTAAAGAAGACACGTTCCGATTAAGTATGGAATAAAATATTCGGCATATGACCTCCACGGCTCCGATGACAGGCCATTACACTTTTCTTTAAATTTTCCATGACTTTTGCATAGAGATGTTGCTGTATCTCACCGACGACGCGTTGGATTTCCGATTTGAGCTCAGGAATGGTTTCGGGTTTATTCGCATATAACTCGAGATTTCACAAAACCCCAAAGAAAAAATCGCACGGCGTTAAATCGCACGATCTTGGTGGCTAGTTGACATTAAAATTTAGTGAGATAATGTGTTCAGTTCATCGGAGAAAATGATTTCTTCTTTCATTTCTTCTTAAATTGGCATCGACTTCCCTTTGCTCCATTACTCATTGAGCAAATTGCCGGTGCCTTCCTTGGTCTGCTGGTTTGAGCTCCTGAGTTAACTGAATCTTGTACGCATGAAGGTAAACCGGTCTTTAGGCAAAATTTGCTACGTCGAATTGATGTTTTCGGGTATTCGGCGACACTCTCGTTTACAGAAGCAATGTTTTCAAGGCACCGACCGGTACGTTGATGCAAAGGATTCTTATTATCCATAACTGACCCAGTTTCTTCAAATTTTTTGACCGCTCTTCGAATGGTTGACACATTAGGTGCACTTTCTCGGCTGAAAATTTGGTGAAGTTTGCGAGCGTTTTCAGCGTTACTTTTGCAATAAGTTTTCACAATTATAACGAGTTATTCTTTCAAAAAGCGCTCCATTTTTAATAATCGGATTAAACAGAGATGACAGCTGTCAAATTTCAGAGTTGCCACTTGCAGGAAAATAAAAATATTGCAATTTTAAAAAGTGCACTCTTACTGAGACACCCTATAATTTAAAGTTCAAGAGGTGATTGACGTTTGATGTTATAACTTTTCTCTAATAAAAATATGATATATTTTTTAATATAAATTTAAAATATAACTGTTGTAGTATGGCATATAATTCGCTAACTTCTATCTGCCAAATGTTTTCCAACTCTTGTGGATTACAAGGACCGAACGAATGGTATATCCTCTCTCATTGCGGGTACTGTGAAGTCAAAGTCAAAAATCATTTATTCATACAGGTAACACAATGTACACTTATGAACGTCAAAAAAGAAATATATACATTAAATGCTTCTAATTTTAAATTTACTGCCAGTTCTCAAATCAAGGTCGTAGAACGTAAGAGAAGAACTGGCACTCCGCCACTCTTTTTAATCGCCAAGTTTCTTGTTTTACACAATGTTTGTAAGGAGCTGCAACCATTACACCGCAGTACATATAATAATATTAAAACTTTATTCATAACAGAAATATGGTTGTGCTGAATTTATCTAAGGCTAGTAGCCACCCTGGTGTTGTGGGTAAGACAATTATTACGTGGTACATGGTGCATGTTTAAACAATTTGTTTTCTAAGAAAAAATAGTCTTAGTGTTACATACATCAAATCAAAGAAAATTCGTATAAGAGCTTAAGTATGCGTGAGTGTATGAGTATGTGTGCGTATAATTCATTCTGTATTTGAGAGTGTGGCTGGGATATGTTATGAGTAACTCAAGTCATGCCAAAAAATTTAATAAGGCCGGAACAGTGAGATCGCTCCGTGAAACCTGCGAAGTGCCCAGGACGCTTATGTGCTTTTGGAAGGAGTCTGGCTTAGTTAGCCAGGAGTTTACGCACACGGCACAACGGACCTATTGAGGGTCTAAGTGCGGAAACTGAGTCCACAAAGCATACCAATGTAATAAGGCCTCTGTAGAATCGAAATCCAATTCGGCTACCATAATTTTTATCCATAGATTGGGACATTATATTGGGATATTATTATAAAGGAATGGGCCACACCTTCGTTTTGGCGTTGGGAATAAAAAACATCTGTTTTTTGATGTGTCCGGATTTATTAGTCAATGGAGTTTGTGATATCTTAAAGCTAACTGAATAGGTTTTTGTTTCTAGAGGGAGTTTGACTGTGGGGTATTTAACGGTTTACGATAGGATAAAAAATTAAAAAGGTAAAAGAAAAATAATTTCTTTATGCTTATGTATCATAGTTATCAATTCAATATTATATATTTCAAAACAATATGTTAAGAAGGTTCCGTGTAAGGACTAGAAGCTAATTTTAATTTTATTTCTGCAGCGTTAAGCTTGCTTTTACTTTGCTGGTTATAATAATAATCGGAATTAATCGCTACGTAATTTACAGCGGATCATTAATATTTAAGCCCTTTTAGATATCAGCTGTATCATGTTTTTAGGTTTGTATAAATAGTCAATACATGTCACAAACATTCATACTTTGTTTTAACGACTTGGTGAGTACATCTTTAGTTATTAGAAATTCTATTAAACCAGTAGTTTTGCTTTAATGACTGCAGAGGTATAATCCTGATTATGTTTTCAATATCACGATTATTGAACATATGATATAGAAACTAGCTTTTAGTAGCTCACGTTCGTAGTTCATTTGATACTGTAATCATTCATCTTAGGAGACCCCAATATACCTAACCCTTACAATAAAGTTTTTACTTAATTATTACTTCAAGGCACAACCTTAAAACTCGACAACTAAGATATTTACGATTTACTTATATTTGTGAGAAAAAAGGAAAGCTATATTTACGGCTTTTTGGATCGTTGTAACGGCATCTATTCAAACAAGAATTTAAACTAACCCGTTATTTAAATACCCATATATCAGTGCATTTTAGTCTTATTTACAACGTGTACACAACACACAGTCAAACTTTTAAAGGTATGTAGAGACAACCTCAAGATTATTACAAAGATGGCTAAATTATCATGAAATTTTATCGTATTATCTCAAATAACGTGTGTCTAGATAGAAAATGAGATGCGAGATTGCTCAACAATTGATTTTGTGATTTTTCTTACGCTTAACTTCAGTGAGTTCCGGTTCTTGCTCAGTGTAATTTCGGGATTCAAATTTATAGTCCTGGGCTAAGAATTTACTAAGCGTTGTATAAATTTGCTAAGAAAGTACCATTAAATAACCAATTTTGTTGTTTCAGGTAAAAAAATCCAATATGAAGTTCTTCATCGTTGTATCTGCTCTCTTCGCCCTTGCGGCATCCGCCCCTGTCGAGATGTCTCTTCAACAGATCGACTACGCTCTGCAGAGCCCCGACCTCTCTCCAATCCTAAGACCTGTGTTGGAAGCTGCTCTTAACAAGATCATGGAAGCTCTAATGAACGGACAGGCTCTTGTAAGTTTAGGAAATGTTTTTTTTTGATATGCCTGAATGAGACAAATAACAATTTATGATATTTATGATAACAATTCTGATTATTGTTATAGCTCTTGTTCAACAAAACAACAACTGTTAGAAATATTTATGTTATGTAAATAAAAAAATATTTTTTAATCGCCGTGTGATTTGTAGTAAGTACGTAAACTAAAAAATATTTAAATAATACAATATTTCGTTTTAAATTCCAGGAAACCGTTGTTGTCGAACTCCCCATTGGCGTAGACCCAGTTCTCATTCCCGAGCCTGCCCCACTCCCAGTCAACCCCATCCCAGTCCCAATTGACCCCGTCCCAATCCCAATCCCAAGCCCCGCTGAACCCGCCCCCACCCCATCTGCCGGACCTCTTGTCCAGGTCATCATTAACGTCAACAAGGAACAACAACAGGTAGGCCCATATTTTATAGTCTTTTAACCCCGCAATGGGCCACAGACCACGCAGTTTTTCTGCCTGTGTGTGCTATATCTGTCAGGCAAGTGGTTGATAAGCCTTTTTCGTTCCTTCCGGAATTTAAATAAGAACGACTTAATTTATTCTTTTAGTGGTTAGCAGTAAGCTACGCACACACACAGGTGGCAATACCAAACATATATGTATCACGTGAATTAAGTAATAACATTTATAATTAAGTAATAATACAATGCGTGAGTCGATGTTTTCGGGTCATTGTGTGCATGACTTGATTTCCGGTAGTACAATAATTTCGGATATTAAAACTGTCCTAGCATTGATTCCGACAGTCCAGGTTAAATCTAAATAAGTGAGCACTTACAAATGTGTTAAACATATATATAATATACTAGCTGACCCGACAAACGGTTTTGCCCTGTAGATTATTTCTAGGAAAAATTTGTTTAGTTCACAAAAATAACTATCTACTATAGTAAAAAATAGGGGTTAATCGTAGAGGGGTAACAATTAAGGGTTGTATGTATTTTTGTATGTTGTATCATAAAAAAATAAAAACAAAAATGTTTTCAAAAAAAATAAACTATCTGTTTTTTGGGGTGGACGCCCAAAAAAATTATTATTATTTTATTAAATTATTTTTATTTTTGCCCAATTTCATTTCCCTCATTACTTAGGGGAATGAAAAATAGATGTTGTCCGATTCTCAGACTTACTTAATATGCATTATGCCGTTTCGGAGGAGTATGGGAATTTTTTATATATAGAGACAACTACATAGTAATATTTTAATCCATATTTCAGGTACCTGATGTAGATGTGGGTTCCAAACCTGAACCATTACCTGGCAACCCAATCGACGTCATCCTCAACTAAATTTTGAAGCCAACTTAAATAAATGTTACTCTGAAAATTATTTTTACTTTCATTAGTTATGTCTTAGTTATAAATGGATAGCATGAAAACAGCAAAGCTTATTCAGATCTTTTAAAGGCGCAAACGGTGACTGATAAGTCATGTCAAGTCAAATCATTTATTTCAATTAGACCACCTAAAATGGCACTTTTGAACGTCAAACAAAATATGAAGATGATTCTAGTTGTACCTTCCAAAAGGTAGTTTCGTGTGGAGAAGAATGGGCAAGAGACTCCACACTTACTCTTTTAAAATAGGTTTACAATATTTTGTATACATTAGTTAAATAATTATAATTATGTGATGACAATGTACTAGAATAAAACTACTATACTTCTTCCTATCCGGTACACTCTTGACAGAGCGGTCGTGATCGCTATGAAGTACTACTATACTAAAATAGGCAAAAAGTATTACTTACAAATGAAGCAATGCAGCGGATAGGTCAATTATTGTATTGTTAGTGCACATGTACGATGTGTGGTGATTGATATGATACCTATATAAACCTGTTTCTGATAACGCAGAACACAAGCGCCTACTCCCTGAATAGAAATTAGAAATAACAAACTATTTTAAATGTTCACCTTTACTTTTTGTCCACATATGAAAAGAGACAGATTACAACGAATAAAACGGTGTAATTAAAGTAATTTATATTTTATGAATACGGTGTCAGTATCTATGCATTATAAATTTATAATCATAATACAAACATTATTATAAATATTTTGTAAACAATCGTTTTCATACCATATTCAATAGTATGACGTGTTTAACGCTTTATAAATTTACGGCATTTATTATTACTATCGATCAAATTGGCTTCGGTTTTAAACTAATAAACAAGATATATGCATTATCAGTTTAAAGGTCTTATCGATTTTTTTTACAAAATATTGAATGAAGTGATTGAAGTGTACTTGCCAAGGATTTACAAGTAAATGCCTGATCACATTTTAGTTTTATATGGACCAAAGCTGTCAATGAAGTTGCTAAAATCGGTAGCGTACAAGTCAAATTTTACGTAAATTTTATCGTACCATTATTTTTACTTTTTTAAATGTTGGATACATTTAAAAAAGTAAAAAGTAAAAATTAATTCCTCTGATCGTTGTTGTAACATTTATTTCTTTCCTGTGTAAGCGTCTTAAAGCTTAATAATCACAACATTGCTAGCAAGAAAAAGTGCGAAACAAACAAAGAATTTGAATAAATTTAATAACGAATAGAACACCTAATTTATTACGTTGTTTATTTAAATATACATTTAGGAGTGAATGTCGAGTTAGTAAAATAATGTTCTAACGCGTTTACCTGGCTTAAATAAATATTATACTCTAGAAGTTTCTATAACCTCTAATTCAGGCAACATATTTTGGAGTGACGTAAGAGTTTTACTGCACGTATAATATGTACTGTTTACGATTGATAGATACAAGATAATTGTAAATTATGGTAAAATAAATATAATTAAACTCGAGATCTTGATAGCGGCGTAGTTTATTTTTATTATATACAACATTGCTAATAATAAATTACCAGGCGCAAAACAAATAAAGTAAGTATAAAAATACGAGGCTAAATAATGACATTTTGACTAAGAAAGCTTAGCCCTTTTTAACATTAAACTGTGAAAAAATATTGTTTCCTTCTTGAATAAATAAAAGAAGTATGTAATTTGATAACACACATCTTGCTTTTGTCTACCATTTACGCATGAATAAAGTTTATATAATATATCAATGACAATTTTAATCTACCTACGTATTTATATTTTATATAATTCGCAAACAGTTTGAATATTCTCCTAGAATTTTTCCATAGAAACGTTATCCTCCGTCCTCGCCTGTATAAGAGCTTTAGCAATTACATTTAACTAGATAAACGTAGTTTAAAGTAGTAAAGTAAAGTATTAAAATTTATTTTATAATAAAGTTCCTAAGGTATTTTGTAGAACCCATTGAAGTTTTTCGAAAAGTGAGTTACAAAGGCCGTTCTTAAAATGCCGTAACACACTCGCAAGTAGTTTGGCACTGTGGTTCCATGTGTGATACTGCTTCATAAATTTTTTTTAGTTCATACAGCTAGATAGAAAAGGCAGCCTAAGTGATAAAGCCTTGTTCGTTTTTTAAGTGGGTATGCGAAAACGATTTTTGATAAGTTAAAAAGTTAATAAGAAGAATAAATACACTTTTATCGCATTTTATCACGCGGTATTTAGGGCATTGGTGCGAAAACATGGCAGTTTTTACACCGTGTGATCTGATCGTTATCTAGTCACACCCATATCTCAAACTGTACAATTTGGAAATACGCTTCCAGCGATGGTATTGTGTTTTGATGTAAGGGTAAAATTCAGATTTAAAGCGAAATATGGCTGTCAAAATGTCATAACTCATAATACGGTTAAAAATCTATTTAAGAACCTATATCTTGCTCAAGGATAATTTGTTTCAATTGTCGTTTTAGCTATTATTTGCTACTGTAAAAACGTTTCCAAGTTAGTTTTGGCACTAGAGACTAACAGATATCTTATCAAAACAGTCTAAATTAACGCTCTTCTGGAAAAAGGAAATAGGTATTTTATATTCTCTTTGATAAGTTACTTCATTAGCTCATACTATTGATTAGATATGATCTCAGATTCGCAAGAATGCATTGCACAAATGATAAGATTAAGTGACAGTTTGACAAAGATTACCAGTGAGTCAGGTCATGAATAATCGTATCCAGAATAGAGAATTAGCGTTAAGTATGACTCACGTATGCCAAAAACATATTCGATTTAGATATACCAGTAGTTGGCGCTAAGTCTCAACTCTGAATCTTAAGACTTTAGAGCTGGAAATATCCAGAACAAACGAACAGATATAATAATATGCGTTCGTTTGTTTCCTTAGTGCTTGTCACATTGAATCTTGTATTTGTTTTGGGTATTTTTTCTTTTATGTACAAATTTATCAGACCGGCAAGCTTATGTAAATAAAATAAAATCTTCTTTCACGTTAGGATGAGGAAACTTAAGAAATCTCATGTAAGACGTAGCTTTTATGAAGAACCGCTGTGAAGTAGCTATTCAATTAGTTTAATTCTTTGAAATCATAAACATTCACGTTCCAGCTAGGTCTCTTTACACATGCAATACATTGGACCTACCTACGAGTATGTACGTCCCCAAACGCAGAATGTGTATGTGTTCTTACAACACTTTATTTTTCAATTTAGATATTTCTTGATCTCAAATTCCATTCATAATCTTTGTTATAATTATTTTGTCCATGAAGATATGTACTATTGAATTACTGAGTTTACAGTTTAATGTGGTGTGATATATCTGTTATATTTTTTGAAAAAATAAATCGTCTATCTTTAACGCATGCATAAAGTAATTATATATACTGATGACAATTTATCCATCTATGCATTTTATATACGAACAGTTTGAAGATTTTCCTAGGATTTTTTCCAAAAATAGATCCTCCTCCGTCCTCGTCTAGCAGCATTAGCAGTTAAATTTAACTATTTAACGGGACGTAATAAAATAAAATTTATTTTATAAAATTATATTTACGATAAAGTTATATGGAACTAACTACCAATCAAAGTTTTTCGGAATAAATTAATCTCAGCCGTAGTTAAAAAAAGAACCTAGCAGTTCTTAAAATGCCGTAACATACTCGTACGTATTTTGGCTCTGTGGTTCCATGTGTGATACCGCTTTATAAAAAAAATTCATGGTTCATACAACAGTTATAGAAAAGGAACCTATGTGATATAGCCTTGTTCGTTTTTAAGTGGGTGTACAAATGTGAAAAGATTTTTGGTGACTTGAAGTTACTTTTATCGTATTTTATCACGCGGTATTTAGGGCATTGATGCGAAAACATGGCAGTTTTTGCACCGTGTGATCTGATCGTTATCCAGTCACACCCATATCTCAAGTTGATTGTCCCATCATTTATAAGTTCGGCCAGTGATTGTATAACATTAGTACATTTTGCGAGCTTGTGACGCCTATATCGTTTGAAGGTAAGACTTTTTTTATTTACGGGCTTTATTTATTTTCTTGTTAATTTATTGTAATAGACATTGTGTAACACTTAAATTAGAAAAACAATTTCGTCGGTCGAGTTTCGAGTATTCTACATTACTAAAATAAATAATTGATTTCGAAACTGCGCTGCTTTATCTGACATCATAAATCAGGGTATATGATAAAACGCCAAAATTGGATTATGCACCGTCTAGCATTTTCCTAATGCATCGTACTTGATTTTAATTCGCAGTTCAAATACGAGATCAAATGTTTATTATGTATATTAAAAGAGTAAAAGCAGCGTTGGCCTAGTGGCTTCAGCGTGCGACTCTCACACCTGAGGTCGTAGGTTCGATCCCCGGCTGTGCACCAATGGACTTTCTTTCAATGAGGCCAAGACCTAAAGAGGTTATAGGTAGTGCCACTGATTTATTTTATTTTTTATAGACGAGTGACGAAGTATTTTTAAGAAAGTATACTCGTATTTACGATATACGTCCCCAAGACGTTTCTCGTTTTAAAATTAAAAAACAAACACGAAACGAACACACCAAAGAACTTACACTTGTATTTGGTATCAAGGCATGATTCATATGTATGTAATTCTTCTTTTAAGAATTAAGTTGTATCATACATTATTGTTATCATGAAAAAAGTACCTATTTTTATGATCTTTCAATTTGTAATAAACTCTTTTGCAAAAAATAACACAGGCACATAAGGAAATTTAGTCTATATTTAAAAAATTTGGCTGTGTACCGTAATAGAACTCATACAACTTGAATAAATTATCAGAATTAAATACACGCGTATACACTATACACGCTAAGTCAGACAATTAAATTTCCTTAACGGAAATCGACTTTAGAACGTAAATTTCATTAGGTGCCCGTATTTATGCAAAAGAGTTTATTTTCCTCGTAATTTCTAAGAGACGATAATGCCGAAATACTATTATAACTAATTAGATTTTACATGATAAATATTTGATGTTTAAAAAAAAGATTAGTTTTTTTTTCAAGTATAGAGGTAAATATCGGTAATTATTTAACGAGTAAATATTTATAAATCCAATGGATATTGTCTGTAGGAATATTTTTTTCATCTATAGCGGTTTTTTTATCAACAAATTTAGGTTGATGAAAAAAAACATAGACGTGTTTTTAAATAAAAAAATGTACTATTTCAGATTGAGCTAATTGCGATTTTAAATGTTTTCTTTTATATTTATAGTATCTTACTATCTTCTATCTAAACAGTTAAGCGAAAGTGACTTATATATATCAAAATGTTTTGCAGATAAAATCATGTCTGTACCAAAGGTGACAATCAACGACCTCTCCGATGCTATCGAGGCAGCAACTAACCCCAGTGTCAAGACAGTTTTAGAGGGAATTCTTAATGACTGGATGGATCTTCAATATGGCAAGAGTACACCATACACAACGGGAAAGACAGTGCTTCCAGTCAGTTCAACGATAGAAGATGTAGAAACAGCAGTAAACAGTGATGCGGATCAGAAATTCAAAGATATCTTTGGAAAAATCTGCGATACCTACAAAACTGGTGATTTGTCACCACAGTCTGTGAATGATGGTAGTTGGGATCCAAAATTCACTCCTGTATTCGTTTTCGTTTCTGGTAATCCTTAGATATTGCTTATTTGTCATTAGTTTGTAAGTTATTTTTATGATTAATACAATAAAGTTTAGTTTATATGTTGTCAAAATTAATTCATTAAAGTAATTATATTATTACATTCTTTTTCTTTTTTTACGTCTGAGGCGCAAACTAACTGTGGTGGTGTCTGCTCCACAGCATAATGTTGAGCCAGGGCCAGTCACAACCAGAATACACACACATTACACACTTAAAATATACCTTTTTCCTTTTTTTTTCTTTCCATATTTTTTTGTTATTTTTCTTTTTTGATGATTATTATTATTATTTTGTGTGTTTTGTTAGTAATAAATGTTATGTCTATGTCGAAAATCCATACACATTCCTACGACCTCAGACAATATAATATGTATACGTTATAGTTAAACCTCAAAGCTCCGGTACTCGTAGGTTTGATTCGTTAATCCTCAGGTCTGACTTGATAGCCAAAACAAATGAAGTTTTTCGGCCTCTGACTAAAGAATTTTCAAATCTAATTGGGTCAGGCATACATTGAAAGTCGATTTAATGAAATCGAAATTGGACCAGTCAAACTTCTTACATGTTTAACATTTCTTAATAAGATTAGATTAAAAATATGATTTTATTAAATTCTTATTATTGTTTTGATGTTTTCAAAACTTTCCATCTTCATATAAACTGAGGATGATCCAATGGTCTATCTTCATAGCTGACCCGGATTTCTTCGCACTCTCTGTCCACTTGAGGTCTGCCAGAGACTACAGTTTCACAAGGACTGTTTTTTTATATTCCTTTTTCTAAGGCTACTTGCTAATTAAAACATCTCAACTAGTTGTATTTTGATAGTATGTCTAATTATTTTGTTTTTCTACCTCTGTTGTTTAGTTGTACAATATAATTTACAAAAAAATGCTAAATGCAAACTAATTAATAGTATACACATTTAAAACGTTGAAAAACCAAGTTTTTATTCACTTCTTAAATGTAATAATGAATTAATTGTCTCAATGAGATATACAACTGAATGTCCGAGTTAACTTGGGGCTCTAATAAGTATTTTAGGAATCGCAAAGTCTCACGCATGCTACAACACGCAAACACGATTTTCGATTAGGCGCAGTAGGATCGAATGTATAAAGCAGAGACCGTGTTGACTGTACTGCTGTACTCTACTGCCTTTTACTATGGTGATTCAAGGAATTTTGATAAATTCTTAAAAAAGGGATTTTATGTTGTTAAATATAAAATAGTTAGTTATTATCAACTAAAATTAGTTATATATATATATCGTTTTAATCAATCGTTTTTTTTTGGACCTGGTTTTATTCGTAGTATTTTTTCTCTTTCCTTTTCATTTGGGTTGCCTGAAGAAGTGATAGGTTGTTATATCAATAAATGAATAAACCTTAATTTCTGGTGAATTACTCTACATACAAACTAATATTCAGTAGTCACCTCTGCGGCGTAGGCCTCCTCTAAACCATCCCATTTTATCCTATTTCTTGGTCTACCTTGGCTTTAGGTTTAAAGAGACATTTATTCTCATAACAGACAAGAGTCACTTACATGAGAACTTATATACTAAAGATACAATTTTTATCACGTCGTGGGTCATTGAAGAGCTTCAAGAATCAATTAGCGAAGTAGAACTTGGGTGGACTTTCACTTACGTAGGTAACTGGGATCACTCAAGAGATGGTCTTTTAGTCTAAATTTAAATATTGCCAGGCTGTCTGCACTTTTTATATTTAGTGGAAGTCTATTATACCGCAGCACTCCCCCAACGCTCAATGTACGCTCTTTGCATGTAATGTAAAGTGGGGTCCATTTGGTAATGACTTTTTTGCCTCCTTTTTATAATTGAAAAAAATGCCAATGAGTGTATACAGTATAATTGTATATAGTGAATAAATAAAAAAAAACTTTATTTATTTATTAACACTTTGTTGTATGTACAGAAATATTTTATATAATAATAAAAAAATACATAATACACTTGACATTATTAAATAAAAAGGAAGGCTTTATCACTTTCGAGCGATCTCTTTCTGGAAACCACTGTGAGAATAAATAAAATAAATAAAAATTACTTTATTTGACTCCAAAACTTTACTTTTTTTACTTACATTTAAAATATTGCAAACTCAAACTCAAACTCAAAATATCTTTATTCAAGTAGGTAACCAAGTACACTTTTGAATCGTCAAGTTAAATTAATCGTAAATTTACATTTACTACCAGTTCGCAAGTCAAGGGCGTAGAGCGGGTAAGAAGAACTGGCAAGAAACTTTCCGCCACTCTTTTTAATCGCCAAGTATTGTCATACAAATTGTTTGAACTGGAGCAATTCAATCCCAAGGATTAGGATCATTTAAGTAGTCCTCAAATTTATAAAAAGCTTTGTTGATTAATTTTCGTTTAACGAGGGCTTTGAATTTATTTAGTGATAATTCTCTAATTTCGCTTGGGAGCTTGTTGTAAAAACAAATACAATTTCCATATAAGGAGTGGTTTATCTTTTGGAGCCTGGTTGGTCGTACACTCAAATTAGTTCTATTTCGCGTATTATACTGGTGAAAGTCACCATTTGTTTTAAAATCGTTTATATTTTTTTGGACATACAACAAGGCTTCAAGAATATATTGACCAGATAGTGTCATAATATTTAATTCCTTAAACTTATTCCGTACCGACTCCCTCGGAGAAACACAACAAATACCCCGAACAGCCCGCTTCTGCAGCACAAATATGGATTGAACCTCTGCAGCAGCACCCCACAGTAAAATGCCGTACGACATAACGCTATGAAAGTAGCTATGGTACACAATTTTAGCCGTGTCCTCATCAGTAAACTGTCGGATTTTCTTTACTGCATATGCTGCAGAGCTCAGCCTATTCGAAAGAGTCTCTATGTGTGGGCCCCATTGGAGTTTACTATCTATTGTTATGCCTAGAAAAACAGTTTTGTCAACAAAGTTTAGTTCACTGTCCTTAATTTTCAGGTTACCAATATCTCGCTTTACGCTAGTAGTTGTAAATCTAATACATTTTGTTTTATTCTCATTAAGCAATAAGTTATTTACATTAAACCAGTTAACTATACGAGAGATAGAATTGTTTACATCGTCCAATAATACGTTATTCCTATTCACTTTAAATAGAAGTGAAGTGTCATCAGCAAACAATACCATCTCATGAACTTCGTTGACAAAGAATGGGAGGTCATTTATGTAAATCAGAAATAAGAAAGGCCCGAGAATCGATCCTTGGGGGACGCCCATTGATACCTGCGAACCCGGAGAGGTGACTCCATTGACATGAACTCTTTGGATCCTTCCCTTTAAATATGAATTCATCAGGCTGGAAGCTTTGCCATCAACGCCATAGTGTTGAAGCTTTCCAACGAGTATATCAGGATGAACACAGTCAAACAGGCAAACTTACACTACTACTACGAATCGTTGAGATATAAATAGTCTTACAACTTTTGTCTTCCAAGTATAACCTGTGTAATGTAATGATATTAACTTTTAAGCGCTCTGTGGGTCGTGGACGCGTTCGTTGTAAACATCATTTTCCTAAATGTCCCTAGTGTAAAATGCACTTAGCACCTGTATTTTGATTGCCTAAACTGTTATTAATATATAGTGATAAGAGGTTATTCGCATTAGCTCGCTTACTCTGGATAAATTTGGGCTTTGCATACAAAATTAGGTGTCTGTGCAAAGCTTTTATAAGCAGTGTGTTTAAGCTTGCTAAATCTTGGTATCCTTTGATACGTTAAGATTATTATTATTCTTGATTAAAATAAATTTGTTGTAAAAAAATATTGTATTATATGTAAGTAAATATGCAGTAGAAATTTTATACATGAAAATTGTTATCTTTCAAAAGCATTCTTTAGATTTCCAGTTCTCAAGCATATCTCTAAAAATTAAACACGTTTGTTTCAATTATATTTTTAAATTTTGTGCCAACGAAGAATTATATACCCTTATTTGGTATGAATGTTACTTAGTGATACGTTAATTCCAATAAACGGTACTAATATTACTTTATATGAAAATAAAGCGAGTATTAAAATACACACTCAAAAAACGCTATCAGTATGAGCCAAAAGTATATTCTAGTACAAGTTTTTTAAATGGGGCGAGTTAAAATATTCATTATTTGTTTTTATTAATAATATACTTTATTATAATGGACTAAGTTTGTATATTATTAAATAAACACCAGAAATAAACCAAATATTCGCTAGAAATATAGCAAATTTAATAATTATTGCGTTAAGGAAATGTTGACATAAATTATTTCGCAATAACTACGAATTTGCATAACAAACGAATGATATATGCGTAGCACGTCGTAGCTTTTAGTTGTAGACTGTCGTAGCTTCGTAGCATTAATGTAGACCTCACTTGTCAAAGCTTAACAAAAAATATTATATTGAATAGTGTATTGAATTTATTATTATAAGTATTATACAGAATTATTAAATTAGTCATAAAATTATCTAATAAATAGTTGAAGTACTAAAAAAGTTTAAAATTTACTGTCGAAAAGCTTCCGTCCAAGCTAAAATGTGCCGCTACGCTCGAAATGAAAACGTTAACCGAGGCGTTATTTATAAACTTACTTAAAAATAATCGATAAGTTTAAGCTATTTTGTGACCTAGAGGATTGAGATCGCGTCGGTGACGGAGTACCGCATTGTATTCGATCGAATAAGTTTTTACTTTCACAAAGGTACGCGGTCGATAGTGCGGCCGTCGTGGCTGCAGTTACAATTATTGTGCTGCCTCTAGAGCGCGAATTTAGGGCAATGAGAGGCGGCGGCGGCGGCCTAGCTAGGGTGACCAGTGCTCATACTCGCCTTATTTGTAGCGAAAAAATATTATCACAGAACAGTATAGAGTATTAAATGTGCTATGCAGCTCCTGCAATTAGGGACGCATGCGTATTACTTGAAAGAGTCGGTAAAACTACAATGGTTTCGAGTTAGGCGCAGATG